CCCTCCCCCCCCGCCCCCGCCTCTCCGTGCAGGCGCCCTTGACGCGCGCCGTCGCCCGCTCGCCCGGCAGGCGGTCTTCAACGCCGGCTTCCTGATCGGCGGCGACCACCTCGACTACGTCAAGATCACCCGCGAGAGCCGGCCCGACGCCTTTGCGTGGCGCGAGAAGTTCACCGCGCTCTGCGGCGAGTTTGGCGTCTCCCCCGCGGCGGTGTGCGTGCAGTTCAGCTTCCTCTTCCCCCAGATCGTCGCCGTGGCCCTCAACACGACGAAGCCTAGCCGGGTGCAGTCCAACGTCGAGCTGGCCAACGCGAGCATACCGCCCGCGCTCTGGAGGCGGATGAGAGAAGAGGGGCTCATCTCGATCGATGTGTGAGAGCGGAGAGGGAGAAACGTAAATTACGAATTTGACGGTGCACCGGTCTCCGGTCGCGACAAGGTTGGGACACTCGCAAGCCACAAGGGGGTGTGCGTGGACAACAGGGACACCGCCATCACCTAACGCGCCCGGCCACTCGCATCAAGCCCACGAACGCCGCACCCGCCAGAGCACCGCCCAAGTGCCCTGAGTGCGCCACCGCCGAGCCGCCCGGGTCGTGCGCCGCTGCAAGTAATCCCCAAAAGTCGGAGAGGACGTAGAGGCCTGCGGAGAGGTGTGGCAGCGGTCAGACGCACGCCTCCCCACACGCGCGCGGTGAGAGCACTGAACTCACGTGGTCGTATGGGGTGCACTATCCTCGCCGAGCCTTGCTGTTGCTGCTGCTGCTGCTGCTCCTCCTCCTCCTGCTGTTGTTGCTGCCGCTGCTGCTGCTGCTCCTGCTGCTGCTCCTGCTGCTGCGTCTCCGGGTCCGAGGCGCGATCTAGGCGCCATCCTGCAAAGCCGATTGCGGGGATCGGCACCAGGAAGAAGAGGTAGACCCTCCGGCCTGGGTCGAGGACGCAGGCCCCCGTGACGCAGGCGGCCACCGCGCCGCTCGCGCCCACGCAGCCCGCCGCCTGGATCTCCGCCCGCTCGCGCAGCGCGCTCGTGCGGTCGCGCAGCGTCTGCTGCTCGGCGAGCCAGGCACTCGAGCTGACGACCGAGCCTGCGAGGTAGAGCGTCGCGAAGGCTGGCACGCCGAGCCGGCGCGGCAGGCTCAGGCCAAAGAAGCTGAGCATCACCATGTTGGTGAGCAGGTGCGAGGGAGAGAGCTGCGAGAAAGCGGACGTGATCATCGTGTGCCAGCGCCGGCGCCGCACGCTCTCGAGGCTGAGCACAAAATGGCGGTGCATGAAAGGCTGCCACCTCCGATCCTGCCAGAAGGCGTGCACAACCATGTTAGCGCCGACGACCGAGAACAGCGAAAGCTCAGGCACGCCCGACTGCGTCACGAAAGACGGAGGCGGAGGCGGCGGAGGAGGTCGCACGTGAGGGCGGCGGCCAAAGGCGAGCCCACGAGCGAAGCGGCGGGGGGTCGCCCGGAGCATATGTGTGTGGGGGTGGCTGGGCAAGGCGAGGACAGTGGCGGGTGTATTGGGGTGTGCATGTCACTGTCATCACTGTGCGATTCGGGGCCCGGGTTTGTGCGTTTACGTGAATAAGGGCGTAGATGCCCTTAGTGTGAATGTGGTTTTTTGTGCAGCGCGTTCTGCTACACTGTACTGCGGGTTTTCTTTTTTAATACCTTAATTCTTTGAGGTTGCAACTTGTGTTCCCGGGCGTTGAATTCATGTATGTAAAAGAGTGGTCGCACGAATTTCGTTAGGCAGGAACTTGGCCTGTCCGAGGGTTTCCGGCAACCCAGAGGGAAACCAGAGGGTCCCCAGCACTTTGCGTTTCCGGAGGTTTCCAGGGAAACCAGAGGGTGTTTGGTGCTCCATTCTGTTTCTCTCGAGTTTCCCTCGGGAAACTCGCGAGTTTCCCTGAGTCTGAGAGCTGGTCTGGGGCAAAATCTGGGGCAAAATTGAGGAAATCGGCACGATACCCAGGTATTTTCCAGGTATACCGGGGTTTTCCAGGTATACCCGCAAAATACCCGGTATTTTGCCGATTTTGGCCCCAAAACAGCCTCAGACACGGCTCAGAGCCCCCCCAAAATGACAAATTCCACGGAGTTTCCCCGGAGTTTCCCGAGGAAACTAGAGGGTGTTGTAGGGAAACAAGCAGGAAACACGGAAAGGAAACCAGGTAGGGTGCGAGAGGAAACCCTCGTACAGGCCAAGCAGGAACAGGCAGGAAACGAATCGGAAACGAATCGGAAACACACACACAATAACAAACAAAATGCCTCCTTGCCTTCCCGGCATCGTACGCGGACGTGCGCGGGGCCTTGACCGTGTCCATCGGCAACCGCACGAAGAGGGAGGATCGATGAGGGCCGCCGAGAGCGATTCTCCGGCCAACTCTTGTCTGTGCGTGCCGTCATCATCTGTCCAGCGTCCACCCATACCGCGTTGGCTTAGGGTACCCCTAGGCTTAAAAGGGTGGGCCCTGGGGCGCCTGCGGCTTAAACGGCTTAAAACCTGCCAGGCAGGGCAGGTTTTATTAAGAGCTGCTGGGCCGCCGATTCCTTAAACGGTCTTAAACGCTTAAACGGTGCGGGAGAGCTCCCGAGCCTCCCATCCCTCCATTGGGGTGTCTGTTTTATTTATTTCTTCCGACCCCCCCCCCCGGGTGATGCTCCGATAAACCCGCCGGATCTTCGACAAAAGCCGGACATTTCTTTTTTTGGAAGGGTAGGTGTGAATACAGCTTTCTGGTAGGGTTACATCGACGAACTATGCGGCAATCGACTGGGGGGCAGCCCCCCAGCACATCCCGCACAGAGACCTGGATGTAACCCGATTGTGAGCGTGAGTGAAACCGCCGATGCGATTGCTCATTGCTCAGTCAGTGACCGACAGTCAGTCGCAGCAGACTTTGACGATTGGCGGCCTCGCGCCCTCAGTCGCCCTCCTCTACTAACGGCCCTGCCCCAGCCCAGATGCCTCATCCAGGGTGGTGCAACCACTCGCGCAGGGAGGGAGAGACAGTCGGCGATCTGCGCCGCGCAGATGAGCCCCGCCTCGTCTGCGTCGAGGACGTCCACCGCAGGGCTATCATAGCGCCATATGACGCACTGCCTGTTGTTCATTACTTCGCAGGTGCCAACGTCGAGGACAATCTCACTGGTGGCGGCTGCACTCCCGGCCGGCGGTAGGAGAGATGAAGGCTAATGTACTTGGCAGTGTACGGGGCCTTCCGGCGTGAACAGTGCCCCGGGACGAAAGAGGAGGCGACGTCTCTCTCGTCCACGAGCGCCTCGATGTGCGCATCGACGATGTAACCAGCTTTGAGAGACGGGAACGAACGGCGGTGAATCGCCGACAGGTGCGCCTTCGTTCCTACCACCACTCCCACCACCACCAGCTCCGCCGTGGACCTTGCCGGGCCCTCTGATGATGTAGTGAGCAGTTCGTCCGAGCCGTTGTTGTACTCTGCTGTGGCGCCAGCTCGGTGTACAATACGGACGAAGACGGCCATAGCAACGGTGTAACCAGCGCGAGCAGGCAGCGCGAACCGCTGTGCCTCGGCGCGCCGGCCGCCGAAATGCTCTCAGAGTTCTTTGGCATAGCATAGCTGTGTCGAGCCTGTCTGCTGTGAGAGAGAGTTGTCTTGTTTAAATTCTTTGGCATAGGGGAACCCCAACCCTAAATTTTCTTCGCCTGCGGCGGGCCATCACTTGGATTCGCTGCTTTCGGATTAGCTCTTTCGCACGCCTTTATCCGTCACTCCCCCGAAGATTGGAGGTGTTGATTTATGCACAAATCTATGTACTATGTGTTGCGAGCGCTAGATGGCGAAATTTTCTTCGCCTCCGGCGGGGCCGCTCGCCGCGGGGCTAGAGGGACTTTTGTCGATGTCGGCTAGAAGTGCTGCACCTTTTTGAGAATTTCACCCCCCCCCCCAGCGCAGCACTGCTGCTGGGGTCGGCCATGAGCTTAGTTGTGCGGGGGGGTACCCGCGAGCAGTGAGGAGTGAGCGGCCGCTCAAAGGTGAAGGGGTGGTTGCGTCTCGCACCCCTCGTTTGGCGTGTCCGTTTTTATTATATATTTATTTATGAAAGGGGGGCGCGCAAGCCGCAGCCTAGGCCCATCCCCGGCGCTCGGCCAGCTCGCCGCCGATCTTGCACAGCTGCTCCACCAGCAAGTCGAGGTCCTCGAACCGGGTGCGGTGGTTGGTCAGGTTGATTCGGATCGCGAGCACGCCGCGGATCCGGGTCGTCGAGGGGACGGCCACCCCGCGCTCCTGCAGCTCGACGACAATCTCGTCATTCAACGCGTCGAGCGCCGCCCCGTCTGCAGCCACGCCGCCGCCGCCGCCGCCGCCGCCGCCGCCGCCGCCGCCGCCGCCTCCCAGCAGCCCCGCCGGCTCGTAGCGGAATACGACGATCTGCAAGCTGAGCGGGGCGAGGCGGGTGAGAGTGGGCGCCTTGTCGACCAGCGCCGCCAAGTGCTCCGCATGCCGCAAGTTGGCCTACGCCCGAGGCCCGGCAGGCCGTCAAGAGGGGCCACCCGCGCGGCGGAAGCGCCCCCCCGCGCCGCAACCGTGATTGCCGCGCCGAGCGCTCGCGTGCCGTGCTCGAGCAAGTGCGACCAGACCTTGAGCGCCCGGAACCCGCGCGACAGCTCGATCCCCAAGTCCACGGGCCAGGGCGCGTTTGCGGCGAGTCCGCGCGCGTTGCCGGCTAGGTAGTCTGGCGAATGCCTGCCGCCGCCGCCGCCCGCGAGCGACGATGCGCGGTCGGAGAAGGCGCGCCTGTTCATACCCAGAGGTGTGAAGAGACACCGCTCGCACCCACCGCCAGCAAGTCGGCTACGGCGCGCAAGTGCGTGTCGCCGTCGCGGACGAGCACGCAGCCGCAGTCGTAGTTGACGTGCAGCCACCTGTAGAAGCCGACCCCTCGCCCTGGGGAAACTCGGTGACTGTCGGAGGCGAATGGGGGCAGCTCTAGCAACTTGTGGAAATCAAACGCGAGCGACGAGGCGCGACCCATCCCCCTCAGCCGCGGCCGCACCTCGTCGCTTAGCACAGCCGCCGCACCAAAGGCGCCGTCCACGTGCATCCACAGCCCTTGCGCCTACTCTCGGCGGGCTCTCGAAATCTCGGGGGGCATCTCGGATGAACCTCAGGGCTCTCCGCCACGGCTCGTGCGCCTCCGCCACGTCCGCTAGCGCGTCGAGGTCGTCGATGGCGCCCACATTGACGGAGCCTAACTCTCAGGCAATCTCGGCTCATCTCGGGCACTCTGAGGCAATCTCCTCGGCCCGCGTTGACGGCGCCGGCGGTGGCCACGAGCAGCCAGGGGGTGAGCCCGCGCCGCCTGTCCTCGGCCACCATAGCGTGCAGCGCCTGTGGACGTGTCGCGGACATGTCACGGACGTGTCGCGGACAGGGCCCGCCGCCAAGCGTCTGCAGCGCCGGCACGTCCATCGTGAACGCGTCCGTCACGGGGACGATGCGCAGCGCGTCCGCACCGACGCCGAGCACGTCCAGGGCGCGCCTGCGGGTGAGTCGGCGGCGGAGTCTCGCTGGCACGTCGCGTGCCGACGCCGCGCACTGCACTGGCTGTTGCACGAGCGAGCGTGTGCTGCACTAGCGAGAGCTTGACGCGTGCTGCACTAGCTGCTGCACGAGCGGGCGCGCGCTTGATGCAAGAGTGCGTCCCCTGCGCCGCGTAGCCCACGAGGCGAGTCGGCCCGCCTGTGGGAAGGGGCAGAGAGGGTGCATTGCAGGCTCGGAGAAGGCTCCGCGTGGCACACGTAGCCGCCCTCTCTCTGCCTCCGGCCCGGGGCGGCGGCGATGGCGGAGGGCTGGGCGGCGGCGGCGGTGACGGGGGCGGCGGGCTCGGTGGCGGGGGTGAGGCGCGCCGGCGAGGCCGCCCTCACGGCTCGCGTCAAAGCCAAGCCGCGCGTCGCGAGCCGCCTGCGGGACGTGTCTCGGACATGTCACGGACATGTCTCGGACATGTCGCGGACGTCGCGGACAAGGGTCAGGCGACCGCTCGTCCTGCCCCTCCCCTCAGCAGAGCGGGCGGGAATGCTGAAGCATGCACGCCACGTAGGTGGAGCCTGACCGTACTGCCGCGTGCCCTATACCGGCCCGTTGATACTGTGGTGCGCGGCACGGGGGGCTGTGCCGTGTGGTGCGGGGCTGTGGTCTCGCGCGGCCTTGTGTGCTGTGTGATGCGGGGCTGTGGTGTCGCGCGGCCTTGAGCGCGAGGACGGTCGCCATGCTGGTCCCGCTGACGAGGAGCCCGCCGGCCGAGGCTGGGAACCCCATCATCTCCTTGCACCACGTCAGCACCTGTCGGCCCGTCCGTCCGTCCGTGAGAGGAGAGAGAGGGGTGTGTGCGATCCCACCACCTCCGTGCACGAGTGAGCCCCAGGCAGTGAGCACATGCCCGTCCGTCCGCCAGTGTGACACGCGCACCCCTGGCACGGCGGGAGGCAGAGCACATGGGGCATTGCACACCAAGCGTCGTGTGCGTTCTCGGAGGACGGCATCGCCACAGACATGAGTGGGGCCGTCAGAGCTCACCTGCCGCTCGACGTAGATCCCGACGTGGTCCCGCCCGCCGCAGTTGGCATTCATCGCGGCGCCGACGAGTTCTGGAAGCACACCGCCGGGGCTGCCGCTGCCGTGGACCCAGCCGAAGAACCGCGGGTGTGTGTTGCCGGCTCCGTACGGCAGCAGCGCCAGCAGCCTCTCGCACAGCTCTCCGTGCGCAAGCCCGTCTTCTGGCGGTACCGGCGCTCGCAGAGCCTCCTTTAGGTCGTCGGGCACCGGCGTCCAGACGCGACCCTCCGACGCAGCCTCGAGTTTGTCCAGCGACGCGTCGAGGACTGCATGCGCGCTGGCGCGGAGAGTGGCCCAGTCGGCAGGGTCGAGCGAGGTCGGGCTCGGAGAGCCCATGCCGCCAGCACCGCCAGCATCTGAGCCGGAAGTGGCGCCACCACGGAGCCACGCGAGCGAAGCGAGCATGGTTGCAAAGACAAGACTCGCGCCAATCCCCGAAGAAATCGTCAAGCCAGTCATGCAAGGTCGTGGGATCACGTGGGGTGGTGGAACCGCGGAGGCAAAGATGGCCGCGATTGCTCTTTTTGCGGAGAGGCGGCGGCGGCGTATGCACGCTCACCATCACAGGCCAGCGGCCGGGGGGGTGGGGCAACTTCACTTGGAGTGCATTTATTTACCGCACGCCCAGGGCCGGGGAGCTAAGAAGCGCACCCACCGGGGCGCGGGGGGCCGGACGACTGTTATCGCACGTTGGTGCCATCACCTTTCTTTCTTCCTTTGGACGCGACGCGTAGCAGAGCCACCCCCCGGACCCGGGGGGGGGGGGACACACCTTCTTGGGCATGCGCGCTGGCGCGGAGAGTGGCCCAGTCGGCAGGGTCGAGCGAGGTCGGGCTCGGAGAGCCCATGGCGCCAGCACCGCCAGCATCTGAGCCGGAAGTGGCGCCACCACGGAGCCACGCGATCGAAGCGAGCATGGTTGCAGAGGAGAACAAGAGTCGCGGACTCACCACCGCGCGGCTGGCACCCAACTCAACCCAGGTGCGAGAAAGAGAAAGCGCACGACTTATTTGGACGCGACGCGAAGCAGAGCCACACACCTTACTTGGGCGCCTTCATGTAGCACTCCGCCCCCGGCACCGGCACCGTCGAGACGATGGCATCGCTGAACCTCTGCGGAGGCGGCGCTGAGACCGTGAGGGCAATCACCAGGGAGGCCAACAAGAGCGTGGTGTTCCCGCAGGCGGCAAAGCCTTGCAAGGCGTTCTACGACATGGGTCTGGCCCACCGTCTTCGTGCCCCCTTGGTGGTGCTCCGGCCGGCATCTGCCCCGAGCTCCACCCAGCGGGTGGCTGCCCGGGCGACCCTCGACCGCTGGGCGCCAAGACGCGGGCTCTCAGAGCCATGCTCCTCACCCTCGTGTTGGGCAGCGTGCTGTTGGTCTGGCTCTCCACGGCCTTGCTGCTGCTGATCGCCGTGCTCGCCGCCATGTGGACCGGGCTGGCGCTCTCCGGCGCCTGTCGGCTGCGGCGCTGCTGGCGTAGGCTGCTGCGCAGGCCAGAGAGGTGCCTCCCCAAACCGGCGATGAAACCTTCAGCGACGACGGAAACGGTGCGTTCAGGTTTGGGTCGCCCGTGGCCGCGGCAGGAATTAATGCGCAGGACGGCGAGGGGGGGATTGTGCCGTATTAGAGGCTCCCTGGTGCGGCAGATAGCCGGAGAGGAACTGAGGATGCACACAGGACGGGCTCGACAGGGGAAGTGGGACTGCCGTGCTAGCCGGCTCACAGGTCGAGACTGGCGCCTTGGCGCCTTGTACTTGGAGCACTTGGAGTGCAGTCGGCAACCTCACATCCAGGGCCGGGGAGCTAAGAAGCGCACCCAGCGGGCCGGATGATCGATATCGGGTTACGGGCTAGAGAGCCCTAGCCCTGGGGGGGTGCGCGTTTGCAGGGAAAGGGCCGTAAAGTAAACACGGATTCTTTCGTGGTGGCTTTGTGGTTGAGATGGCTCTGCACACGTCTCATCACCATAGACTTTAGAGTCTCCTAATCTGATATTACCTAGATACCCGCCTGAGGCCTGTACAGATGGCACCATCAATCACCGGCGCCCGGAGCGAGAGAGGAGATAATCCTCATGTAAAAAAAGGACCAAAGTTGTTTGGTATTGCTAAAAAAAAAGGACGGGGAGCGCAAAGATTTCGTCTTGAGGGCTGAGTGTCATCGCACATCGGGTTGGATTTGGGGATGCAAAAACTCAGCGAAAACCCTGTCAGCAGAGTCCTCCTACGGGAATGTACATAAGAGCTACATACACTGAGAGAGAGAACTGAGAGTACACTGAGTACACTGAGAGTACACTGAAAAAACGCCCTCCTCGGGCGCTTTCTCCGAACCAAAAGAAGAAATACCGCGTCGCGGGACGATGAAGCGCGGCGTGGCCTCCTCCCCCTCCTCCTCCTCCAAGGCGCGCCGTCGCCGCGCCGACACTCTTGACGCGCCGCTCGTCGAGGCTCTCCGAGCCTCGCCGCGTCCCTTCCTGCCGGCGAGCGAGGCCGCGTCGAGCGACACGGCGACGGAGCGGGTGGTTGAGGCAGTCAGAGTCGCATCCAGCAACCCGGCGCTGGAGTGCTTTGGGGTCGACGGCACTGGCGTTCTACTCGGCGTGGCGGCGGCACAGGCGCTCGGCGCGCTGCGGGTGCGCGCCCTCGTCTTCCCGCTTGAGCTCTCGCTGAGCGCCCCTGCTCAAGAGGCCTTCATCCGGCAACTTGGCCGCAACCGCTGCCTCCGCTCCATCACGCTCAGCTCCACCAACCTGGACGCCGCGGCGGACGGCCCGGACGAGCGCTGGAGCCCGCGCGGGTCCGCGTTTGTCGAGCAACTCCAGGCGCTTCGGAGGGAGACGGGGCTGCCGGAGCTCGAGGTTTTGGGCGACGAGGCGTTTGCGGAGGGCGGGGACAACGAGGAGGGCGGGGAGGAGGAGGGCGAGGGAGGCGAGGGAGAGGAGGAGGACTTTGTGCAATGCGACCGACGCCAATGCAGGCGCGAGATGACCAGCCCCACCGAGATCGTATTCACCAACAAGTTTGGGCAAGACTACTGCGCGGCCTGCGCGGCGGCGATGGAGCCTCGGCCTGACTTGCGCCAGTCGACGGTCGCTGTCCGGCTCGCTGAGGGGTGATCGTTCTAACCGTCCTCGAAATTGTCGAGATATACATGAAGAAAATGTGATCGTGCACGTGTTTTCAAAGTGCGAGAGCGGTGCAGGGTCAACGTGTAATCGTGTACACACAGGGCTGACACGACTGGTTCTCACATAAATAACAAGTGTGAGTGTTAGAGTTGTTTGGTATTGCTAAAAAAATTACTCTCGCTCATAAATATACATACATAAATAACGAGCGTGACCGCGTTGGGCGTTGGGGTGTCGGGTGGAGAACTCCGCTCGCCAGCTCTCGGTCTCACTGGAGTGACTCTGTCTCGGACAGGAGGGCAGCCGCCGCAGCGTCAGCATCGGCGGTGAAGATCAGATTGTGACGGACAGCTAGATTCAGCTTGTCGATGTCCTGTCCGTGGCACTCCTGCGTCCGCTCGTCGGTTGGCTTGAGCTCTCGGACGGTCTCGTTGCGCAGAATGCAGACTGCCTTGGTACCCGGCACAAGTGGGAATGGCTGCTCGTGCCAAACCCCCTTGTGCATCACAAAGCCTGCGCTGCCATCGAAGGCGAAGCAGCGAACCGCGTCAAGATCCGGCTCCTCTGCCGACTCGTTGGACGGGGCAAAGAAGCCAACCAGCGGCTTGCCCTCGAGCGGAATGAAAGCCTGCGTGTGCTTGTAGTGCCGCTCGAGGAACTATGCACAAGCGACCTCGACTGTCTACGTTTGACATCTAATCTCAGCTTCGAGCGCCGCGCCTTGCACTCGAGCGGCCTCGGCTCGTAGCAGAGCACAAGCACACACCTGTGGAAACGATGGCGTGCTTTCGCATGTTGGATAGTGCAGTGGTGCGGCTCCAAGGTGCAAAGATACTAGGTCGTAACTAAATGTGCTGAGAGATTCCATGGGCTAAGGCGCGATCACGTGTCTTCATCGGATGCGAAGTTGGTCGAGGGGTTGACCACCCTGACTGCCTGGTAGTGTGTAGAAGTGGACGAGGTGGAAGTGTCGCCGAGAAGCGTGCCGAAGGGCGCAAAGTTCTCCGGCGTTGCAGTGACCACGGGGATGCGGCGCACGGTGTGGCCCGCAGTGCACTTGGACAAGCCGAGCGAGCGGGTCAAGCTGGGCCTCGTGAGAATGTGCGAGCATGAGCTGCACGCTGGGCGCGACCAGGTCGCGGCGAACCCAAGTTGCTGAGCAAGCATCGAGCCAGTGCGCAGCTTTGGCGCTCGGTGGAGGGCGGGGCAGGGATGATATTTGGGGGCGCGCGCAGAGGGAAAAAGAATTTGGCGGACAACACGGTGAGCCATACGGACCTTGCAAGGGAGAGAACGACGAGAGTGGGACAGCCGCGAGGTGGCATGAAGGTTGCAGCGAGAAGCGGCGAGAGACTGCGAAAAGAGATACGAGGAGGCAGACCCCCCAGGGTGGGCGACGGCTAGCGCATCACACCCTCCTCTCCTTAAAATCCCTGTGTGGTGGCGGCGTGCCGTTCTCCCATCCCTCCCTTGGGTTGTGTGTTTTCTTTCTTTCTTTCTTTACGGACCTTGCAGAAAACCTTTTCCTTCTAAGCAGGGCTACACAATGACCCTATAGTGTGGGGGTGTTTCTGGCGAGTTGTGATGAGTAGGATTAGACTAGCCAATGGTATTTTGAAGTTCATATATGAAAATACCAACTTGCCTATGTGCACGTCTCCGCGGCGGCGGCCCGGAGGCGGCCCGGCGGAGCGGTCAGAGCAGCACTGCGCCGGCCGGCGATCGACTCTCGACTATACCACGGGCTCTATTGAATGGCCTCAAGGTGCTCTCTAGGGCTGCCCTATTCCGCTCGCCCGGCTACGTCGCTGAGCTTCGAAGGAAAAGGTTTCGCTCGGCACGGCGTCGGAGAGCAAACTTCGGCGTTCGTCGTATAGTGGAAGCTGGACGCACGTAGGCAAGTGGCCCATGACCAGGCGGGCTGCTCATAATCTGGGCCGTCGGCGCTCGCTCTCGCGCTCTTCATAACGGCTTTGCCCCCTCCCTCCCGCGCCGACGTTGGGCAGCCTGACCACGACAACGCCAGTGCCGCTGGCCTGCAACTCGAGGCGCCTTTGAATGAGCACGAGCCGGTGCGCGGCGGCGGCGCGGGTGATGCAGCCCAAGGTGACGGCGACGGCGGAGGGGGCGGCGGCGGCGGCGGAGGAGGCGGCAGCGGCGGCGATGGCCGCGGGGTCGGCCCGCCCGCCTTTGCTGCTGGTGCTGTGGGCATCATCACAGCTCAGCGGCGGTGTGCGACCAGGGCCAGTGGTAGACTTTCGACGCGGTGAGGCTGCTCTCTGAGCGATGACACTAGCAGGAGCATCATGTGTGTCATCGGAGTCACTTGTATTACGATACCACCACGCCGCCACGCTCGCAAGGGCCGCCTAAGCGCCTAAGCACCCTAAGCACCCCCCGCTTAGGCCGCTTAGGCGCTTAGGCGAGTGACGGCCGGCTGCCAGGGGCCTGGCGTGCCTCCGCCGTGGGCTGAGCACCCGGGAGAGCCACTCTGCAAGTGGCGTGCGAGCGTGTAGCCTTGAGCGTGCAGTCGGCCCTTTTCCGCGACGTAACGAATTTTTATTCATCCGGAGGGCTGGCCGGAGCCGTGGGCAGGATCTCCACTACCTACCGGGCGGTCACTCCAGCCCCCAGCAGGAGCGACTGTGGGGAGAGGAAGCTCGAGAAGTGGTCACCTGGTCGCAACTCTTTGTCGTAAATGTACTCGCCCTTGTCGTTGTGAAGAGAAGGCAGGAATGCCTTTTGGAGGATCTCGCGCGTCTCGCGAATGTACACCGCACCCTTGCTGAACCAGCAGTCGTCGCCGACAAACCGAAGCACCAGCGTGTGTCGTTCCGGGCACGAAGCTGACACGGGAGCCGAGCCGTGGATCGTGCCGGGGTGCACGACGACGACGTCCCCGGGCTCGAGATCCCAAGCGCAGTACTCCCAGTGCGCGCGCTCGTCCTCGGTCATCGGCATGACCGGCTGCACAGACTCGGGGACCATTGGCTCATCGGGGTCCATGCCGAAGATGGTCCCCGGCGCGAGCTGGTACACTGGACCTCTGTGCGATCCCTTCACAACCTGCAGGCAGTTTTCCTTTGGGATCGGCTGGAAGCAGATCCAAAAGAGACCGACGTGCAGCCCACGAAAAGGGACAGCCAGCGAGTCCTGGTGAAAGGGCGTGTCGCTCCGCTCCGCTGAGCGGCCGTTGTCCGAGTCGCCATGCCGCTTCCACCAGAGCTCGTGGTCGAAGAACCACACGCTCTCGGATCCCCACAGCTCGGCCAAGGTGGACGCGAACGGAACCTCGTTCACCATGTCCAGCACGGCCTCGTCATCGGTCCGATGGCCGATGGCCGGGTTGTACAGGGTGCCGTCGGGGTACTTGACCTGAGCGCCCCTGCGGACGGGCTGGTTGAGAGCGTCGTCGTACACCTTGCGGCACTTTTCAAGCAGCGAAGGGCTGAGGAAACCCCGCAGCACGACTGCGCCATTCTGCTGGAACTCCTCGGCAAGCGCGGTTGCCTGTGAGTGCCCTGCACGCAAGCGCAGCGCTGCCGTGAGCGGCGCTGAGGATATGAGGCTGAACGACACGAGCGGAGCCCCCAGACCCAGCATTGCGGTTAGCCCGGCAGCTGAGCTTCCCAGGCAGCTGCCTTGAGCTTCCCAGGCAGCTGTGCTTGGCAAAGCCTGCTAGCTGGGCACAGAAATCCGCGGATGCCTTCACAAAAGAATTTGGAAAAATTGCGTTTGCTACGTTTTGAGCTTTTCTCTTGCAGATTACTACGCGCGGGTCAAATTGTCTTGCTGATTACTACACACCACACAATCCACCTTGCAGATTACTACACATCACACAATCCACCTTGCAGATTACTACACATCACACAATCCACCTTGCAGATTACTACACATCACACAATCCACCTTCCTTGCAGATTACTACACATCACACAATCCACCTTCCTTGCAGATTACTACACACCACAGGCGTGGAGATACGAGGGTCGCCCCGCAGTGAAACCACCCCCTTCCCAACCGTCTCAGGGACGGACGCATTTGCCCCCTTTCAAAGGCGGTTTCGAAGTTGATGAGACCTCGTCCCCCCGAAACAATGAAAAGCGTAAAAAGAGGCGCGGAACAGGCCGGAACCGCCGCTTGCACGTGGGTCCCACAAATGGCAGCGCTCCAGACGCGCTCTGGTAGCTGCCAATGAAGCTGCAGCCCATCGCGCGCGTGCCGGACGGCCTCTGCACCTCTACTGCAGTGCTTCCTGCACCGAGCGACGCGTCAAATCTTTGTTGCTGCCCATGACCGCCGGCGGCTCCGAGCTCGGGCGAGCGAGCCCTGGCTGAGCTGAGCCACTGCGGTCGCAATTGCAGCGCTGCGGTCGGTGCAGAGTGGCCGTGCGCGTACGGCGTCGTACGCGCACGGCCGCTCTGCCTCAGTGGCGTGCGGCTTGGGCCAACTGAAGGTCGCTCTCCGACCTGATCTACTAGGCCCTGGATGTGAGGCTGCCGACTGCACTCCAAGTACTAACAACATACACAACACTAAAAGAACAAGAATTGGCTGCACGGGACTGGGGGACTGGCGCGCACTGGAATTTCCTTGCTTACCTTTTTTTTTCCAGTGTATGCACATGTAGCTCTTACGAACACTCATAAGGTGGACTGCTGGCGGGGTTTGTTTGCGATGAATGAGGAGCGTAACGCCGTTAGTTAGGGAGCGACACCGAACGACGAAGGGTTTCTCGGGGTTAGTGTACCAACCACTAACCGCCGAAGCGCAAGAGAACTGCGACGGCTCGGTCTCATATTTTTGTGTTTAGAAACTCGGGGGCACTTCAGGGGAGGTGGAGGGGGCAAGAAATTGTGCCGCCCCTACCGAACTACTTCCTGCACCGAAAAAGGACGGCCGATCTGATTGTGTGGCGATGTGGACACTCGACCCGGTGCACTAGAGCACCAGAATGGCGGAGAGGGAGGCGGCTGCCTCCTCATCATCTGGCGAGGTGATTGCAGAGTCCTCATCAAACGTTGCTGCGGTCGTCGACCTGTCCAGGGCCTCGACCGCCTCGACCGTTGACTTGGCACGCAGCCCCAGCCGCCGCGAGGAGCACTTGGAGTGCCCAGTCTGCACGCGCGTGGAGCTGGGTGTGCATCATCAGTGCAGAGAGGGCCACGTCTTCTGCGCCGAATGCGACGGCCAGCTGCCCTCGCGCGTATGCCCGGTCTGCCGTGTGCCGCTTGGCGAGCTGCGGAAGGCGATCCGCAGCCGAGAAAGGGAGCAGCACATTGCGGCGCTGCCGGCCGAGTGTGCGCACTGCTCCAGCCCGCTGACACGCAGCGAGCTCGAGGATCACGCCCGAATCTGCCCTCGCCGCCCACGCTCCTGCAGCGGCGCAGAGGCGGGCTGCTCGTGGGTGGGCGTGCTCTCGGAGCTAGAGGAGCACGAGCTGAACTGCTTAGTTGCGCTGCGCGTGAAGAACGAACGCCTGCGTGTGCGCTCGGAGACGGATCGCGCGGAGAACTCACGCCTGCGTGCGCGGGTGGTTGCGCTGGAGGATGGCGAGCGGCGGCTGCGGCAGCGCACGGGTCGAGGGCCCTATGACGGTGACGACGGGCAACAGGGAGAGGAGATGACCCTGGCAGAGGTGGGCTGGTTCGCGCTTGGCAACGTGCTCAACACTTTGTACTTTTTATGTCTGCTCCGGAGCGTGCGCTTGGTTCTGCAGTGATAGCTGCTTTGGTGCTCATAATGGCGTGGAGGTGTGCGTGTAGCAGGCTGCCGGGCCAAGGACGAGAGCGCCGAGTGTTGGCAGCCTCTGGCTGTGCGAGTGACGCCGAAGGTGACTGCGTCCACCTCGCTCAACCGACTGACGAGGCGCCAGGAAGCATGAAGCTGGATCGCCTCTTGCGGATTGGGCATCGGCTGCGGCGGCGGTGTCGGTCTTCATCGTTCATGGATCATGGTGCATGCCCGCGGCGCCGCAAACCTGTGTTGGAAGACAAGTGGTTGGTCGAAGTACTTGTGGTTGTGAACGCGTCAAATATTAGCTGAGGTGTCGTCACGCAAGTTTTGTCGGTACACGCATGCCAACAACAACAAAAATCTCGCATGCCCAAAAAAGCGCTGACAACTCTCCTCTAGCCTGTGGCCGTCTCCCGTTTTGATCTCTCGGTCAGTGGGCGCCCGCCCGCCGGCTCTGAGGGGGTCGGCCCCCCTAGTCTGAAAACAAAAACAAGCTCGAAAACAGCCAAAATCAGCCTGCGAGAGAGGCACTGCGCGCCGCTGACCTCATCTGGGGATGTGTGCCGACAGCGACACCAATACTGATCTACTAAAACCTGGAAGAGCCCCCCCCTTCCTTGTTCAAGCCGACCCTAATAAGCGCCATCTTTCCTGCTTACACCTGATGCTGCTTCCCCGCGCCGCCTCCTTGGCCCCCTTGGGCGTATTTTCTACTCCCAGTGGGGGGCCTGGGCCCCCCGGCCCCCTCTTCGGTTTTCTGTTTTCTGTTTTTTCAACACGCCCGCCCGCCCGCCACCCCGAGGCGGCTCGGCCCCCCACTGACCGAGAGATCGCCCCCCCACTGCCCCTCTCTAGGGAGGTCCCTTCTGGTGCATCGACTAGGCCACACCTGGGCCGTAGCCGGTGCTGGCTGGGTGAGTGTTAGTGCCCGTGCGCACCATCTGCATCTCAGAAATAAGAAAGATTTAACCGACACCGCAAGGGAGGGATGGGAGGACGGCACGCCGCCACCACACAGGGAGAGGGAGAGGGAGAGGGAGAGGGAGAGGGAGAGGGAGAGTAGAGAGAGTAAGAGGGAGAGGAGAGAGGGAGAGGAGAGGGAGAGTGATAGGGAGAGTAAGAGGGAGAGGAGAGAGGGAGAGGAGAGGGAGAGTGATAGGGAGAGTAAGAGGGAGAGGGAGAGTAAGAGGGAGAGAGGAGAGTGAGAGGGAGAGTGAGAGGAGAGAGGGTAAGAGGTAGAGTAAGAGGGAGAGAGGAGAGGGAGAGGGAGAGGGGGAGGGAGTAAGAGGGAGAGGAGAGAGTTAGAGGGAGAGGAGAGAGGGAGAGGAGAGAGGGAAAGGGAGAGTTATAGTGAGAGGGAGAGGGAGAGGGAGAGGGAGAGGAGAGAGAGAGAGAGCAGAGGGAGAGGGAGAGGAGAGGAAGAGGAAGAGGGAGAGGGAGAGGGAGAGGGAGAGTAAGAGGAAGAGGGAGAGGGAGAGTAAGAGGGAGAGAAAGAGGGAGAGTGAGAATAGAGAGAGTGAGATGGAGAGGGAGAGTAAGAGGGAGAGTGAGAGTGAGAGGGAGAGGGAGAGGGAGAGCTCGCCCTCCATGCGGCGCACCATTGGGGGCGCTGCGGACTATTAGGCCTCGTCGCACATCGCGCGCATTCTGGATTGTCTTATTTATCTGAGGTTAAAATATCCATTTGAAAATGCTTGCCACATCTCGGGGATGGCGACGCCAATTCAGCCATCCTGAGATGCAGCGCCCTCCGGCCAGCATCTCAGGATGTAATGGCTCAATCAGGGATGTCGTGGACATCTTTGGTTGCCTCAGGCATCCCAAGATGCATGAAGCAATTCAGGATGCGCGAAGCAATTCAGGATGCGCGCGCATCCTGAATTGCTTCATGCATCTTGGGATGCTCGAGGCAATCGAAATTAGAATGGAAATCGTATCGGGCAATTTCAGATGCCTCAGCATCTCAAATTGCGGGTTCCCCGCCCCTGACGAGGGGAGGCTGGGGAGGGGGGGGTCCACTCTGTCTCTGAAGACAGCCGACCGCGGAGGGGTTTTGCGTTTTGTCCCACAGGGTTTTACCCTCCGCGTGAGGATCGGCGCGGCGAGGGGGTAGGTTCGAATTCGCCGCGCAACATTTCACCCCCACGGGACCCCGCCATCCCCCCCTCCATGGTCCCACCACCTAGAACCCCAACCTTGCCGGCTTCGCACCCCCTCCTTGCGCAGTGTCCCCCGCTATGTGTCGCCGTCTTCGGGCACGCAATCCTGTGCAGTCAGGGCAAGTGAGTGCGAAGTGGGGGCGAGGCGCAGTCCCATCTCTCCTGGGTACGGGTGGGTTCTGTCCCTAGTCTCGGTCGGAGGGGGGCTTGAAGGTAAGAATATTTTATCTTCCTCTCTCTCTTCGCAGCCTCTCTCGCTGCAACCTTCAAGCCACCTCGCGGTCCTCCCTTTCGTTTGTCATAAATAAATAAATACAACGGACATCCCAAGCTAGGGCTGGGTCGAGGACAGACACGTCCCCACCTTTGCAGGATTTTGCAAAAGCGAGGGGGGAGGGCGCATCGCCGCGCGGAGAGGGCTGGGCATCATTCCTCTTTCCCGCGTGCTTCTGTAATTTTTTGCTTCGCATTGTGCCACGTCCCATGTCGGCTCCGGCTCCTGGCCAGGGCGGCGCCGCTGTTCCCTCCTCGCGCGACTCGACGGGGTTCGAGGTGCCGTACGAGCTCCGCACGTCCGCCATCGCAGGCATCGGCGTCTTCGCCACCACGCCGCTCGCGCGTGGCACGCTCCTCTGGCGTGCCGACTCACGGAGCCAGGTCGTGCACACCGAGGCGACGCTGCGGGAGAGGCTGGCGAGCCTGTCGTCAACCGAGGCGATCGAGTTGCTCGAGCACGTCTACTGCTGGGAGGGCGAGGCGCGCGGCGCGCACATGCCCTCTCTTGTGCTGTGCTCGCCTTTGCGCACGGTCATTTGGCTAGGCAGCCGCCGACAAGAGCTTGAGTGACGTGTTTGCGCGCACGCGCAGGTGCTCGAGGTGGTTGGCGACGGCAAGTACTGGAACCACTCGCGCACGCGGCAAAACACGGGCAGCGGCGGTAGATCGGGCGAGGAGTGCTGCCGCCGGCTCTCCTCACGTGCCCGCGCCTGAGAACAGGCAACCACCCCGACGGCGATGGCGAGGGGCGTGGGGATGGCGTGTCGTCGTACGCGCTGAGGGACATCGAGGCCGGCGAGGAGCTGCTCGATGACTACGCCTTGTGCGCTCGCCCCAGCCAAGCCAGAAGAGATCCCACACACGACACAAAACTTGTGACCAAACACTATCCATCCATGATTTGATATGCGCTCGGAGGCGACCCGCGCCGCCTGCCGACGCGCATCTGCCCGTCCCGCGCCGCGCAGGTACCCCTCCATCCCATGGTTCGAGGCACTGTGCGAGGCGCACGGCGCGCAGTCGTGCACGAGCGTGGGCAAGCGCTTCATAGCCTTGTGAGGGAAAACCGGGGCGGAAAACCGGAGGTGATATGCTGCCGCACATCCATCCCGACACCCGAGCGTGAGCGTACGGCACCCAAAAACGAAGAGCTACATACACTAAAAAAAGTAATAAGAGCCGCAGAAAAAAGCGCGCGAGAAACTTGCAATCCTGCGCCATGGTTCTCTGCAGGCAGGCGGTGGGCGAGCAGCTCGGCGGGACGGTGCACTGGTGGGTCGGCTGGTTTCCAAGCAAGGCGGCGTGTGACGAGGCTACGCACATGTATCACGGCGATTGTCACAAAGTGCTCTGGACGGGCAACGATGCAGGCTGGTCACCGGGCATGGCCGTGGATTTGATTTGGGACGGCATACGTCATGCGTACGACCCGCGCGCAAGGGATGAGTGCAACGACGCGTATCGCAGTGCTGGGTGGAGCCACTGCGAGTTTGTGTTTGAGTGGGTCGAGGGAGATCGTTGGATTGGTTCCGACCCTGTCTTCACCACGCCTGCCTTCGAGTCGCAAGACGATTGCGCCCTCTGGCACAACTCTCACCTCGCTGGCTTCGACGCCCTGTGCGGCATAGAACCCGGCAAGTTCTGCCCATCGCCGTCTCTTTCGAAGGGGTGGACGGCTGAAAAGTCGATAACTTTCCCCGGCTCGTTGCGCGACTGCATGGTCCAATGCGAGAGCATGGAAGACTGCGCCGCCTTCAGCTATACCACTGGCGCCGCATCAAACTTTTGCGCGCCATGCGTGACTAAGGACCGATCGGCGCTCCTCGATTGGATGGTCGGGAGCGCTCAGACTAGTCACTACGTCATGTGCGTGCCGCCCCCACCGTCGCCCCCGCCCCCACCGTCGCCGCCACCACCGGCATCACCGTTGCCGCCGCCCCCACCGTCGTCCCCGCCCCCGCCGTCGCCGCCGTCCCCATGGCCGTCGCCCCCGCCTCCATCACCGCCCCCGACCCCATCGCCGCCCCCGCCTCCATCGACGGCGCCGCCGAGTCCTCGCCAGATTGCCGCGAGCGAGATGTCGCCTCGCTGCTCCGACTCTCCGCCCGGCTGGACGAGCAGCTCCGGCTTCGACTGCGGCAGCTACGCTCGATACGCCTTGTGCACAAAGAATGGATTCTACGGACGGCTCTGGAGTACCTCGTGGGGCACATTCGCAGACTGGGCAGTGGGGGGGGTCGACTCGCGTCAAGCGTGCTGTGCATGCGGAGGAGGCGAATGGTCCACACGGGCTTCGGCGGCCCCGCCGCCAGCTCCGCCGCCGCCACCGTCACTATCGCCACCTCCCCGCCTCTGCGAGGTTGTCGAGCAGGGCACGTTCCTTAACGATGGACCGCGGCCACGCAACTGCGATATGGCCGAAGCCGGGAGCTGCCTCACTTCTTATGTGCGACAAACCTGGCTGAACCCTGACCTCCTCATGCGCTGCATCTCTTTTCGCAGCCGCTGCGTGCCTTCCCAGGCCTGGATTGCTTGTCCTCTTTATGAATGAGCGGTGCAATCCGCATATCACGCAATGTCCACTGCCCGCAGCATTAAGCATACAAACGGCACACTCTGAGCGCCGTTTGCGCTTGCGCTTGTTGAATAACTTCATAAATTCAAACATCAATCAAGAAAGAATTCTTAATACAAGCCTCTCTCACAGATCAAGAAAGAAAAGCGAGGCTCCTCCGAGATACACACACACACACACACACACACACACACACACACACACACACAGAGAGAGAGAGAGAGAGAGAGAGAGAGAGAGAGAGAGAGAGAGAGAGAGAGAGAGAGAGAGAGAGAGAGAGAGAGAGAGAGAGAGAGAGAGAGAGAGAGAGAGAGAGAGAGAGAGCGAGAGCGGCTATAGAGACATGTCCCCTCGATTCGACAACATACAAAAACTCATCCTCACAAGCATCGATGGTCACACACTCGCAGAATCAAGAGGCTCCTGGCACCTTCATGGCGCCTGCTGCACCTTTGCAGCCGCAGTCAGGGGCCGCGGGCCGATGGTGGCTAGGAGTGGCATGAGGAAGAGTGTGGACCACAGGTAGGAAAAGATGATCGTGAGCAGAAAGAAGAGGCCGAATTTGTGAAGAGGTTGCAAGAGGCACATGGTCAGCACGGCAGCGGCGATTACCGAAGTCAGCATGCCCCAGAAAACGCTTACGCCCATGGTCCGCAGTGCATCGTGTGCGCGCTCCACGGCAGCAAGGGAGCCCGAGTCCATATACGAGTGTGCAAGATGGACGACATAGTCGACAGAGAAACCGGTCAGGGTCATAAGACAGATGGCCTCGCTTGATCCCAGCTGCCAACCGCGAAACACGACGGCACCGATCACGGTGCAAAGCACGCAGGCGATTGTGGCGATGCAGGCTGTCGCAACGACAAGGTTTTGGGTGGCGAGGAGCAGGACGGAGAATGCGATTCCCAGCCCAACTCCGCATCCCACCAGCGCCATCCTTACATACAGTTCCTGCGCGAGGATCAGGGGAGAGGGGCTCAGGGCAGTGGCGGCAGTAGGCAGGGGTAAGGCAAAGCGCTGTCCTGCTGTATCATATAGACCCACTTGTTGTCGCTCCCTGCGCCCGCCGCAATCTGCACCGACGTCCCGAGCGACGCAGTGACGTTTGCATTGCCCAGACCAAGCGTCTCGCCTCTCCGGAATTCACATTCACGAGGCGACAGCGAGACTGGATGTAGTCCTGAGAGCACCGGAGTCACTGACTGTGGGACGCGATTGGGCAATTGTGTTGCTCTGAGACACCGTCTGAGACCAGACTGAGTGTGGTGCGGTCCGTGCTCGCTCGAGCCGGAGGCGCGCCCCCGGGACGCCCGAGCCGCGAGCCTGCCGCCTGACCGCGCTGACGCGTGACCGGGTGCCACACGAACGCGCGCGGTGCGTGAGACCGGTGAGCGCGGTGTGTCGCAGTGTGTGTCGGTCGTGTGTGTGCAGCTGTGTGGCACCTGAGCCCTGGCTGTCATGCTGTCAGGTGCTGTCAGGTGATCTGTCGGTCTGTCGGGCAGCTGTCAGGCACTGTCAGGTGCCTCTGTCAGACAAGCTGTCAGGTGCTGTCAGTGCTGTCAGGTGCTGTCGGGTGCGTGTCTGACAGGCGAGGTGATCTGTAGCTGTCGGGTGCTGTCGGAGCTATCGGGTGTTGCTGTCAGACGCTGTCGGAGCTGTAAGAGCTGTCAGGACTGCTGCTGCTGTCAGACGTTGGGCTGTTGCTGTCAGGTGCTGTCAGGTGGTGCTGTCGGGGTGCTGTCAGGCTCTGACACACATCAGCCACACTTATGACACTACCAATAGGGCGCTGACTATCAAGGGGGCGCTGACGCCGATGACGCCGGCGGCTACGCAGCTGCCTCCGCCTCCTACGGCGTGATCACGCCGGCGGCGGCGGCCGCCTTGGGAGCGCAGATGGCGGCGCAGGCGCAGGCAGCGGCACAGACGGCGGCGGCCACCCCCACCCTGACGCCGTAGGCATATGACTGTAGGGCCCCAGAAGGCTAGCTGGTATAGCTTCATTTGTAGTAGCACAGCCGCCGGTGCTAGAGAGAGGTCCGCAGAGGTGGGGCGGGAGGCTTTGAGAGAGAGACCCATGACCATCCCATGACCACATGGACATGGACCACACTCACATGCACATGTACATGTGCATGTCTTTGCATGCAATTTTGTTATACCCTCATGGGGCACAAGAAAGAGGCTCTACGGGGTCTGTGTACGGTCTGTGCTGCTGTCGGGCTGTCAGCGCTGCTCCTGTCAGGCCACTGTGTGCTGTCGGGCTGTCAGGCAGCTGTCAGGCTGTCACGTTAGGGCCTGACAGCGACGGGTCGCCTCGCCTGTCAGGCTCTGCTGTCAGGCTGTCAGATACGTGCTGTCAGACTGTCAGAGAAAGTGCTGTCAGCGCTGTCAGGCTGTCGGGCACTGTCAGGCGCTGTCCGGGGTTGCTGTCAGGCTGTCAGACCTCAGGGCTCACACAGTGATCAGTGTGGCACAGCCTGCAGAGTGCAGTGTGGGTCCACGCACCACGGTGTGGGCTTCCGGGAGAAATGCAATAATGCGTCATAACTTCTCAGCACATGGAGTAGTTGTAAATCATGCCGGCGCCCCAGCAGCATGGCACACCGATGGCGATGTCCATATAATTATCTCACATAATACCAGACCGTGCTCGCGCCTCGTTCCCTGCTGGCAAGCCCCCCCCCCCGCCCGCCCCCGCCCCTCCCCGCCCGCCTGCCCCCCCCCTCCAACGCTATTGCTCCCTCCGCTGCCGCATCCGATCCCAGATCGTGTTCCCGCGCTGGCCCGCCTCGACGCCGCCGACGCGCCGCGGCAATCGCAGCTTGCCAGAGGCGCGAAGCTCCGCCAGCTTCCCTACGCTCACAACACGCGAGGCGTTGGCGTGTGTCACTGCGAGGGGCGCACGGCGGCTCCGGGCCGCCCTCGAAGGCGGTGGCCAGGTCCTTCCCCGCGTACTGCGCCAGCTCGGCGGACAGGTCGGGCAGGCCGGCGAGCGCGCAGTACTGCAGAAAGGGGACGAGCTTCGTCAGCGCGTCGTCCTTCTTCTCGGGGTCGTTGGCGTGCTTGTACTCCGGCACCTGTGGGACAGGGCGGGGCCCGCTCCCTATCCCGCGGCGGCGTGTCTGGCAGCAAGTCTGTACGCAAAGAGCCCCTCCCCCCACCCCCCCCCCTTCGGCTGTCGGCCGTCGCGGTTCTCTTTCGTGGCGGTGGCGGCGGTGGCGGCGAGGGCGGCGGGGGAGGGAGGCGGCGGGAAGGTCGGCGGCGGCGAGGCTGGTGGTTGAGAGGGAGGCGGTAGCGAGGGCGGGACGTGTCTGCGACGTGTCTGCGACGTGTCTGCGACGTGTCCGCGACATGTCTGCGAGCACCGTGATGCCGTGAGACGGCTGCATGGCGTAGGACTCGTCGTCTGTGTCGAGGATGAGCACCTTGCGCAGGTCGCGGTTGAGAACCTCGAGGTCCTTGTAGTGGTGCCCGTTCCGGTACGTCGTCGTGTCGCGGTAGAGCCGGTGCCGGATCCGCCGCCGCGGGTCAAACTTGTCGACAACTGGATCGGCGTTGACGAGGCACTCAGTCCAGAGGACGATCTCGTAGAAGGGGAAGAGCTGGTCGAGGAAGGCGTCGAGCCCTGGCCGCTTCACGTACCGCCACCCGTGCTGCCGCGTGTACACCGACTCGATCAGCAGCCCGTCCAGCGCGACGACGAGGGTAGGCTTGGCGGCCAGCGCCGGCGGCAGGTCGGGCAGGAGCTTGTCGCGCGAGGGCTCGGCGTACGGCTTGATGAAGGTGTCGTAGACCGCGTCGCTCGCCGCCTCGTACGCCTCCCGCGCCGGTGCGAGCACCTTGTCCACGATGCCGGGCTCGCTCGGAGGAGGAGGAGCGTCCGGAGCGGCGGGCTCCGCCGGCGACGGCGGCGCCGGCGCGCTCGCACAGGCGCAGAGCTGCTGCTGCTGCCGGGCGCTCAGTGCCGCGGCGGAGGCGCCGACCGCGGCGGCGGCGCCCAGCCCAGCTCGCAGCCGACCGAGGCGAGCGAGCATCTCTCGTTGTTCGCGGCAGCTCAGTCTCCAAAAAAGAAAAATGCATTTGCCCCCCGTCGATTTCTTTATTTCACGCTGGCGCGCCTGCCACTCTAGCACTGCAGCAATGCGCGCCGCAGCCAGTGCGGGCTCCAGCGGAGCCGCCGGAGCAGCAACGGATGCCAGCGGACGCCCCACGCGCGGCGCTCCCGCCCAGTCGCCCTGGCTCTTCGACCGGCAGACGGTCGAGAATGCGCCGTCGCGCAGCTGGTTTCTGCAGCGCGCCAACGGAGACGAGGTGCAGGCGAGAAAGAAGGAGGAGGAGTACCGGATCGGCTCTTGCCAGTTCATCCAGGACTCGGGCCGGGCCCTGAGAATGTGCGCGCCTCCCCACGGCGCGGCCCCGAACGCGCGCGCCGTGCGCGCGCCAGCCTGCGCAGATATGGCGCGCGCAGCAGGGGACCGCCGCGCGCTCAGCGCCCCGCCGCGCGCGCGCCCAGGCCGCAGCTGACGATCGCGACCGCGCTCGTCTTTTACCACCGCTTCTACGCCTTCAAGTCGTACGAGCACCACGAGCGCTTTGTCCTCTCGACGACGGCGCTCTTCCTGGCGTCAAAGGTGGAGGAGACGCCGCGCAAGCTCAAGGACGTGGTTGGGGAGGCGCTCAAGAACTGGAACAAGCACGTCAAGGACTACCGCGTCCCCGAGCCCGAGTCTCGCGAGGTGCACGAGCTCAAGGAGAAGGTGCTCGTCACCGAGCGGATTCTGCTGCAAACCATCGGGTTTGATCTCTCCATCGAGCACCCGTACCGGCCGCTGCTCGCCTACGTCAAGTCGATCACGGGGACGCGCGACCTGGCGCAGATTGCGTGGAACTTCATCAACGACTCGTACCGCACCACCGCATGCCTGCAGGTGCGATCACGCACGAAAGCGCCGAATGTGGGGGACCGCCCTTGTGACCGCCCCGCGCCCCACGGCGACGATGGTGCCGACCGCGCCCACCGCCTGCCCCGCCGCAGTACTCGCCGCGGTTCGTGGCCGCCGCGGCGCTCACCCTGGCTGCCGACCGACTGACTCGGCAAGGCAAGGCGGTGCAGCTTCCGAATCTGCACAAGTCGTTCGAGGTGGGCGCCACCGCCGCCGCCGCCGCCCCCCTCGGCGCGGGTCTTGCAGCTCTGCGGGTGTCCGCAGCTCTGCAGTGTCCCCTTCACTACAGGTGCACGAGGACGGGGTCCACGCGACCATGCGTCTCCTGCGCGTCATCTACGACGATAAGCGCAAGGGCGGGGGCGGCGAGTCGGTGAGCGCCAGCCGGCCTCGCGCCAGCCGGCCTCTACCGTCGCCACCCTGCCGGGGCGCTGCCGTCGCCCCTGCAGTGGCCTCCGCCTCGCCCCCGCGTAGCACAGGAGGATCCCGAGACGGATCCAAGCACGCCACCTCTCCCCGCGACAGGGCGCCGCAAACGCGGCCGCCGCCGCCAAGGCGGAGGCTCCCGCAGCAGTCAAGACGGAGGCTCCGGCCGCGGCGGCCGCGCCCGCAGCAACTGCCCCTGCAGCTGCCCCTGCGGCGGCGCACGCGCGAACAGAGCAAGCAGCAGCCCCTGCAGAGCCGCGGCAGGCGGGGAGGCAGCCGGTGGAGGCGGGCGGCGCCGCGGCGGCGGTCAAGACGGAGGCTCCCGCTGCGGCGCCCGCCGTCGCCAACGGGGCGGTCGGAGAGAAGAGACCGTACGCGCATCTCGTGTCATGACAGCAAGCCGAAACGCGTCCCACTAGCGCTCTCTGGAGTGCGGCCCGGGCCCCTCCTTGTGTATTGGTTATGTGCCAAACCGCGGGCGTGTGTGTCAGTGTTGGTGTGTGTGTGTTCCGGCGCGCAGGCGGAGGCGCAACTGTGCGGTCGCGCATGGTTGTACGCGCGACGCCTGGTACGTTTTTGACATCAAGGCGACATCCATCCTCTCCCAGCCGCACGCTCGCACCTCGGGTCCTCGGCGCTGCGGCGGCTGCCGCCGCCCCGCGGGCCCCCCGCGGCCCCCCCGCGAGCGCGTGTGACGCGTGTACTCACCGCGGCCTTCTCGCTTCCGCCGCTGCCGCTGCCTGCGATCGGAGTGCTGCCCCACCGATCCCGCCCTCCGCTTCGGCCGCGTCCCTCAGCGCCTCCCATCCGCCAGGCGCGAGCGGGCAAAGCGCAATCGCGTCGCGTGCGTCCTCAAGCGTGGAATCTCTGCTAGCCAGCGCGATGCTCGCGCGGCAGCGCCCAACCAGCGCCTCAAACGCCCACCGCACGCGGCCAGGAGTCACACGCGCCCGCTCCTTCGCCCGAGCGGCCGCGAGGCGCGACGGCGGCAACCCCGTGTGCGTCGGCGGAGCGCTTGCCAACGCTGCCGCGCCACCCGCCAGCGCTGCCGCCCAAGCAGACATGTCTGCACCACTGGCCAACGCTGCCGCCCCGCAGCTCTCCCGCTGCAGCTTCCCGAGCGCGGCGAGGGCAGCCGAGTAGGCCGCTCGTGCAGCTTCCGCCTCGCCGTTCGCCGCGGCACGGTCGCCCTCCAGCTTGCTCTCGAGCGCCGCACCAAACAGCTCAGCCGGCGCGACACCGACATCGCGCACGATAGCAGTGCGAGCCTGCGTGAGCGCCGCGCAAGGCTCGTCGCACCGCTCGAGGATCACACTGGATCTCGTGGACGAGACGAACGTGGCGATGCCGCCTTCGAGGCGGCCGCCCCTGCACGCGCCCAGGCACGACTTTCCCACCACATCGACCCCTTCGGTAGAGCACGCGAGGCCCTCGGCGGCCTCCAGCACGAGCGCCGAGCCGTGCTTGGTGCAAACTGAGCCCTGGCACACGGCATACTTTGGTGCCGCACCGAAAGGCGCACCAACGAACAGCATTACCGAAAGACGTGATAAAAAAATTTCGCCAAAATCTCAAAAATTTTCCTCTCATCCCTCCCTGGGTTTGTCTGTTTTCTTTATTTCTTTCTTTCAAAAATTTTCCAAGGAAAAGAACTTGCGCGCAGGTGCCCGCCGCTGCCCGCCCCCGAGTGGTTCTGGCACTGGCACGCCCGGCAGCTTGAGCTAACTCCAGGCGTAACCCTTGGTCGTCTGCCTCCTTCTATCTCCCTTCGCAGTCCCTCGCCGATTCTCGCTGATTTTAAGTGTCGAAAGAAAGAAAACGGACAACCCAGGGGAGGGATGGGAGGACGGCACGCCGCCACCACACAGGGATTTCACTGGAAGGAAGGTGTGTTGCTCTAGCCGTCGCCCACCCTTGGGCGTCTGCCTCTTCCTATCTCCCTTCGCAGTCTCTCGCCGATTCTCGCTGCAACCTTCATGCCACCTCGCGGTCGTCCCACTCTCGTCGTTCTCTCCCTTGTCGCTTCTTCCTCTGTCGCGTCGCTCTCCTCTGCCTCGTCCTGCGACGCCGCCGCCGCCTGCCGGTCCCTTGTTCTCGCGGCTTCTTTCGCCTTTCGGCGCAACTCCGCCCTCCTCGCGCGTCGCGGCATATCATAACCCATATCTTGGCCCCTCGAGTCTATCGAGCTCTCCTCGCGCAAGGACGACTCTTCTGACGCCCACTGCGATCATTTGCCGCCAAGTCATATCGTTGCTCAGGTCCACTCTCTCTCTCTCTCTCTCTTCGAACACTTGTGCCTCCACGGATGATGCCGGCGCTGGGGCCCCCTTCGGGTGCATCGTGACAGCTGACAACGGGATTTCCACTGGTTCGTCCTCCTCGGAGTCGTCTTCCCCGGCTTCCTTCCGCTCGGCTCTACGCTCGGCACGTTCGGTCTTGTCACGTCCATGCCGTGAACAGGCGCTTTGCGCTCTCTGCGGAGTGCTTTCGGCGTGCGGTACCCTGTGTTGTGTGCCACAATGGCTGCTGTCGCCGGCCGGCGTGCGGATGTGCGGCCCACCCTACGCCGCCCGCTCGCTCGCTCGCCGCCGCCCGCCCCACTCTCGCCGCCGTTGCCTCTCGCAGGACGCCATCCTCGAGACGATGACGCAGCAGCTGCTCCAGATCTCTTCCGTCTTTCTCGTGCAGCAGAGCGAGCTGCAGCAGGTGCGTGATCGGCTCAAGAAGGAGCTGGTGCGCGTCAACACAATCTCCGAGGCGCTGACCTCCGCGGCGCAGCAGCATCAGGACGCGGTGCGCTCCTCCTCCGCCCGCCCGCTGCCGCCCGGCGCCCGACCGAGGCCGAGGCGTCTCCCCCCTGGCCGCTCCCTATCTGCAGGTGCTCACCGTGATTCAAAACTACGAGAGCGTCGCGGCGGAGAGTGCTGGAGACGCCCTGGGACCCGTGGCCGCCACCTCTGCCGCCGCGGTCGCCGCCGGCACTGCGGCCTCCGTCTCCGAGGGCGGGCACAGAGCTCCTCCGCCTCCTCCGCCGCCGATGCAGATGTCCGCACCGGGAGCTCCGCCGCCGCACCTGGACCAGGCGCTTGCGCGCCAGCAGTCGGTGAGGCAGGTGCACCTGCCTCCGGTCGCCAGCCAGCCCAGCGTCTTCACGCAGCTGCCCGCGCCGCCCGATGAGGACGAGGACGAGGGGATCCGGTACGTGGACAACCTCAAAGTGGTGGGGGGGCTCCTCGGCACGCCGCTCAAGGCGAGCGGCGAGTTCGTGGGGACACCGGAGGCGACGTGGTTCCGGCAGCGGAGCAGCCTCACCGGACGCGGCGAGGATCGTTTCGTTCCGCTCGGCGCCGCGCAGGGGTCGGGGAGGGTAGATGCGCCAGGGGGCGGGGCGGGGAGATGCCCCCGGGGGGGGGGGGGGGGGGGGGGGGAATTCCTTGGGCCCCCCCCATTTTTTCTAAGGCAACGGTGCACGCACAGGCACACGCGACGCAGAGGCACAGGCAAGAGCACGCATCCGCAGCGACACTCACACACACACACTCGCGGGCGCGAGACACGCCCCTGCACGCGCACGCGCACGCACGCGCACGCGCACGCACGCGCACGCGCACACAGCCCCGCCCCTCCATCGCGCGCGCCTCCCCCGCCCCTCCATCGCGCGCGCCTCCCCCGCCCCTCCCCGACACCGCTGGTACTGGTGGGCCTGGCAGGCTCGAGTACCTCCCGACCGCCGACGATGTGGGCGCGGTGCTGCGGCTCGAGTGCGTGGGGCCGTACGGTGAGAAGGATGAGCAGAGTCATAATAACGATGGCGATGGCGATGAGAAGAACAACTCACAACAACAATCCTACTCAGGTGGCAAGCCCGTGGCGGTGGAGACGAGCCCGATCGCACTCGACCCGCCGACACACGCCGAGCTCGAGGCATTCTTGCGCAAGGGGCAGGCGGAGCTCCACGCAATCAAGTGATCTATTGAGTCCATTTCAATCATTCATTTGTTCATTGGGGCAGGCGGAGTTCCACGCCCTCCCCTTCCGCGGATCTCTTTCTTTTTTTCTCACCGTTTCTCTTCATGGGGCAGGCGGAGTTCCACGCCTTCACGCCGCAGCAGGAGGCGCGCATCGTCCTCGTCACACGGAAGAACATCAAGGTGCTATCTCCCCATATCTCCCCATATCTCCCCATATCTCCCCATATCTCCCCATATCTCCTCGTCACACGGAAGAACATCGAGGTGCGGGCCTCGCACGTTGGAAGCCGTGGGGGGGCTCCTGCCCCCTCTAGACGAGTCTAGACGAGTCTAGACGAGTCTAGACGAGGAGTCGTGAGGGTCGCCCGGCCCTTGCCCCACCACCCTCGTGTGTGGAGAAGCTCACCTGACCTTACCTTACCTGACCTGACCTGACCTGACCTGACCTGACCTGACCTGACCTGACCTCAAGGTGCGCTCAAAGTCGTCCCGGATGGGCGGCGGCGCGAGCACTCTCTACAAGCAGGGCTACCAGAGGCCGGTGACGGCCGTGGTCGACGAGCACTCGCCGCAGGACGGGGAGATATGGGGAGATGTGGGGAGAGAGCACTCGCCGCAGGACGGGGAGATATGGGGAGATGTGGGGAGAGAGCACTCGCCGCAGGACGGGGAGATATGGGGAGATGTGGGGAGATAGCACTCGCCGCAGGAGGGGGAGATATGGGGAGATGTGGGGAGATAGCACTCGCCGCAGGAGGGGGAGCCGCTCCCTCACACACAGAGACGCACGGGTCTCCCATGAGTTTCTCCCATGGGTTGACCTCCGTCTCCTCTCCTCCTCTTTTCTCCGCGGGAGCGAGAGCCGCAGCGAGGCGAGGCGCCTGGAGGGAGCGAGCCGTCACCCGCCGCGGCGCTCCTCTGTTCTAGGAGATGGCGCTGCAGCTCGGCGCGCTCAAGTTCGAGCTGCTCATGGAGACGCCCCGGCTGCGCGACCTGGCCGTGCTCTGCATCCGCATGTTTGCAGGCCCGAACTGCCCCACCCACGAGCAGGTGTGCACCGAGGCCGCACCCGTGGATTCAGAACGAGCTCATTCATAAGTAACGAGCTGCCCCACCCACGAGCAGCTCGGCGCGGAGCTCGACTTGGCCGAGTCGGAGGACATGTCGGCGCGGTCGCAGCCGGACGGAGCGTCGCTCTAGACGCGGAGTACCTCCCCATACCTCCCCGCATCTCCCCGCATCTCGAGCCCTAGAAGCGGAGTACCTCCCCATACCTCCCCTCTCGAGCCCCAGAAGCGGAATACCTCCCCATACCTCCCCGCATCTCCCCGCATCTCGCGCCCCAAAAGCGGAGTACCTCCCCATACCTCCCCGCATCTCCCCGCATCTCGCGCCCCAGAAGCGGAATCTTCCACCCAGCGCTCGAGAGGACACGCACCCACGCCGGTGCTCTAGACACACTGCCCGGTGCCGCCCTCCCTTCCTAAGGTTGGCGGACTCAGCATGTAGGATCGGAGCGGCCGACGGAAGCGCCCTCCTCTGCTCGCGGCGCGGCGCCGCCGGCGGGTGCGGGCGGCGCGGAGCTTGGCGGGGTCCGCTGGAGCGGCGACGAGGAGGTGTGAACAGCGTCTCTTCACACCCTGATGCTGTGAATAGGCGGTGTCCACTGGAGCGACGAGGAGGTGTGAACAGCGTCTCTTCACACCCTGCTGCTGTGAATAGGCGGTGTCCACTGGAGCGACGAGGAGGAGGAGGGCGAGGGGGAGGAGGAGTTCAAGCCTGCGATGGAGGAGCGTCTCTCCGCGCAGACCCGAGGCCACTCACGGCTCACTCCCTGAGCACGCCTTCAACGGCGAGCTAAAGTGAACAGGTGCCGACGCGTTGCCCTCGAGGAGGCGGTCGTCCCGACCCGCGCCCCGCACCTTAGCCCGAGCCCCGAGCCCCACCACTAGGTCAAGATCCGCGCCATCGAGGATGTCGTCGTGGCCGACACGACCACGCTCAAGAAGTTCTCTCTCGGGCTCGCCCCTCCAAAGGCGGCGGGAGGCGCGCCCCGCCCCAACCCACGCTGACACTGGCGGCCAATGCGTGTCTTCCGACCCACGCTCTCGAGAGGACACGCACTCCGCTGCATGCAGCCATACTCAGCGGTGCTCGGCTGTACTCAGCGGGCGATCCGCGGTGTCTCTTCACGCGACCCGCCGAACACACGACGCGACTCTGTACCCTCCCTCTCCCTCCCCCCCCGCGGAACCTGTCGCACTCATGACGCAGGCAGCCGCTCCCGCGCCGGCACGGGCGCGACACCGCCGTCGCCGGCCCGGAGAGCGGGCGAGGCGGCGGTGGCCGGGGCCGCCGCCGCCGCGCCGCTCGCCGCCGGGTCGGCCGAGGCCCTTCCGTCGGTGTCGGCGGCGGACGCCGCTTCTGAGCCGGCCGTCGCCGCTTCGTCGAGCTTTCCCGCCGTCGACTTCGACGGCGCCTTTGGGAGCGGCGCGCCGGCGGCCGAGGCGCCCGCGGCTAGACGGGGAGAGACGTGCCTGTTGCACTCCGACTCGCGCGAGAGGGGGCGCGGATTCGGCTGTGCCTCCGCCGTGTTGCAGCCGTATCCGCTGTGTTCGCAGCCCGTGTGTTTGCCGAGTACGCTGCACGAGACCGCGCCCCCGCCCTGACCTTGGGCGTATCCCCGCTGCAGGCGTCCGCGGCGGGCGGGGCGACCGCCTTCTTCGACAACGCGTTCGCCGGCTCGTGGGCGGCGGGCGGCCTCGCCACCGCCGCCAGCCGCGGCTCGGCCGGCAGCCTCGACTCGTCGGATGCTCTTCCCGCACCAGAGGCGGCGCCGGCGCAGCTCTTCGACGCTGCGTTCGGCGGGGGGGCGGTCTCGCCCCCCGTCGCGCCCGCCGAGCCGAGCGTTTTCGACGCGTTCGGCGTCGCGTCGGTTGCGGCCGACCCCTCGCGCTGCAGTACCCTACCAAACCCGGTACCCAAACCCAGTGAAATCGAGTAGGCCGCGCCCGGCCCGGCGCCAGCAGCGAGCGTCTTCGACGCTTTTGGCGCCGCGGCCGCGGACGCGCCGCCGGGGGGCACGCCCTTCGAGCCGCCCGCGCCCGCGCCCCTTTTCGACGCGGCGTTCGGCGGCGGCGGGCCGGCCGACATGAACGCCAGCGACGCGCCGGCGACGGGCGAGGTGGCGGAGGCGGCGGCGCCGGAGCTGCCGGTTGCGGCGGAGGCGCAGGCGGGCGGGATTGTTGCCGATGGCGGTGGCGGTTCGGCGGTGGCGGGCGGCGCGGCCGGGCGGGAGGAGGGGGCGAAGGAGGGCGGGTCGGGTGAGGAGGTCGGCGGGCACAGCTTGCTCATCTCGGAGGTGGTCAACGCGCGGCTCGAAGGGAGGAAGCTGCTGCAGTACCGCGTGAGCGGCGAGCTGCGCCTCGTGTCTGCGGCGGCGCCTCAATGAGCTGCGCATTCACAAGAACTGGATCGGTAGGCGAGCTGCGCCTCGTCTCTCCGGCGGCGCGTCCGGGCACGTCCGAGTTTCGTTTCCGGCTGCGCAACGCTCACCGGATCGAGCAGGTCACACACCCACACACCCACACCGCTCACCCGCGCGCACCGGGCCTTGCACTGTCAATGCCGTGGGGCTCCTGTCTTCTAGACGCGGAGTCGCGAGGGCTAGTCTGGCCCTTGCCCCACCACCTCGTGTGTGTGTGGAGAAGTGTACCTCACCTCACCTCACCTCGAGCACAGGTCAAGGTGAACGACAAGTTTGTCAAGGCCAACGACGGTGCGCAGCCCCCGAACAGCCCCTCCGTCACAGCAGTCCCGCCGCCCGCTCCTCCCCCAACTGTGCGCTCCTCCGTCCACTCCACCACCCACTCCAGCCTCCACCCACTCCAGTCTCCACCCACACCCCCTCCACCCACACCCCCTCCACCCACAGGGATGTACACGGTGTCCTTGCCGCCGACGCGCGACCCGAAGCCGCTCCCGCTCATGAAGTATGTGGCGAGCGGTCGGTGGCGCCCCGTGCCAGTCTACGTCGACGCCGAGGCGGCGGAGGCGGCGGGCGGCGTCCGCGTGCGGGCGGCGGTGGAGACGAACCCGCAGCTAAAGACGCCGCTGCAGGACGTGGCGGTGGCCTTGCGCGTGCAGGACGAGGGCGCGCGCTGCTGCGACAAGGCCGTCACGCCTGCAGCTGTGAACAGCGTCTCTGGACGGCGTCTGGCTGTGAGCAGGCGCGAGCTGTTCCGAGGTCGAGCCGGCCGGCGGCTGGGACGAGGCAGGGAGGTGCGGGCGTCAGCGAGGGGTAGCCGAGAGGCGGCGGGGAGGGGGGCGGGGGAGAGGGGAGAGGGCGGGGGAGAGGGCGGGCGCGGCTTGCGGAGGCGCATGGGGCGGACGGGGTGGCTGCGCGTCCTCCTTCCGAGGCCCTCCCTTTGGGGACGACCCCCCCCCCCTACCCCCTACCCCCCCCCCTCATCTGGCCACCCGGGGAATACTTGGGCCGACACACCCGTAGAGCTCCCCGGGGCTGAGGGGGGCGGGGACCCCCCCCCCTTTACACACAATACCCCCCCCCCCCCCCCACCCCGTCGCCCCTTCGCGCCGCAGCAGCGTCAAGTGGCGGATCGACGAGCTCGCGAGAGAGAAGCCGGCGTCGTGCTCGGCGCTGGTGGCGGGGGGAGGCGCGCCTGCGCGCGAGGCGTGCTCGCGTGGGGCGATGCAGGTGCAGCTCTGCTCGCCCCCGTGCACCGGGCCTTGAACACGCCGTGCCAGCTCCTGCCCGCGTGTCCGGGTGTGAGATGCGAGGGGCTAGCCTGGCCGCTGCCCCACCACGTTGTGCGTGTGTGGAAGGTTACCTTTCCTCACCTCACCTTTAGGTGCAGTTTGGGTGCGAGGGCGTCACCATCACCGGCATCGAGCTCGAGGTGCAGGTTGGCACCACCGGCAGCCCGGTCTCGCGGCTGCTGCGCAGGTTCAGTAGCGGGAAGTACGAGGCGCGGCAAGCTGTGAATAGAAGAGCTGTGAATAGAAGTACGAGGCGCGGCAAGCTCCTCCCTCCACCGCCACCACCACGTGTGCACACCACCACGATCCGCCACCCTCCACCACCCACCACCCACCACCACCCACCACCACCCACCACCACCCACCACCACCCACCACCCACCACCACCCACCACCACCCACCACCACCCACCACCCACCACCATCCCCCATCCCCCATCGCCAACACCCACCGCACGCCTGCGCCTCGCCAGGTTGCTCCGGCGGAGCCGAGGCTCTAGCAGCGGGCGAGGGCCGGTACGTTGGAGAGGGGCTCGACGTGGTCGTGTGCGGTTTGGCGCGAGAGGCAGGCTGTCGATTGGGCAGTCCCTTCCTCCGGCCTCGGGCCCCGGTACGTCCTCTGGCGCGGCCATCCGTCTCGCATGGCGACACGTGGTTCCGCTCGCCCGCCCGCCGTCGTTTAGTGCCCGTCTTTGTGTGTTTGCGTGTGACTCTCTCGCCCCCGAGCCGGTCGTCATCGTCGAGGAGCGCGGGAGGCTGAAGTGGCATGCTGCTGCCCAGAGGAATGTGCGGGCCGCGCGGAGGCTTTTAGAGCCCGCGAACAGTCGCGCGCGCGGGGGCAGGAGTCAACGACTTTGTATGCGAATAAAAGAATTTCAATGAAGAATTCGCAGCTGGGTCATGTTATCGGATACAGCGTGTCTCCAGGCATACACACACTATGGCCCCAACGCTATGCCCGCCTTGCTTCCTACTCGTCCAAAAGGCTGTCCTCTCCGTCAGATGAAGCAGGCGTGGGCGGCCGGCTCGCCCACGCCTCGATCTTCTTGGGCAGGAGCTGGTTGGACAGGTCCTCTCCGTGGCCTAGGCGGCCGTCGTCGCCCCCACCCCAGGTGAAGACGGCGCCGTCGGCGATGGCGATGCTGTGGTATGTTCCAGCCGACACAGCGCCCTCGCTAGCAAAACCCTCAACCTTCTTGGGGAGCAGCTGCTGCTGCTCGTCGCCGTGGCCCAACTGGCCACCATCTCCATCGCCCCAGCTCCAGACAGCACCGTCGGAGGTGAGGGCGAGGCTGTGCCATGCTCCCGCCGACACAGCGACGGCTCGCTGGTCAGCAAAGGCCTCGATCTTCGTTGGCAGCAGCTGGTACTGCTCGTCGCCGTGGCCCAGCTGGCCAAGGGCTCCATAGCCCCAACTCCAGACGGCGCCGTCGGCGGTGAGGGCGAGGCTGTGGGCGTCTCCAGCCGACACAGCGACGACGCGCTGGCCAGCCGACGCCTCGATCTTCTTCGGCAGCAGCTGGCGCTGCTGGTCGCCGTGGCCCAACTTCCCGAAGAAGCCAGAGCCCCAGCTCCAGACGGCGCCGTCGGCGGAGAGAGCGAGGCTGTGGTCGCTTCCAGCCGACACGGCGACCACCCGCCGCCCCCCCAAAAGCTCGACCTTCTTGGGCAGCAGCTGGCTCTGCTGGTCGCCGTGGCCCAACTGGCCTTCGCCTCCGCGGCCCCAGCTCCAGACGGCACCGTCGGCGGTAAGGGCGAGGCTGTGGCTGCCTCCAGCCGACACAGCGACGACGCGCTGGCCAGCAAAGGCCTCCACCTTCTTTGGCTGCCACTGGCTCTGCCTGTCGCCGTGGCCTAGCCGGCCGTGGCTTCCACTGCCCCAGCTCCAGACGCTGCCGCCGGCGGTGAGGGCGAGGCTGTGCGCAGCTCCAGCCGACACGCTCACGGCGCACTCACCCAGCGTCGACGGGAGGCGGGTCGGCGTGTTGGGCTGCGCCACGCCCTCGCCGTGGCCGAGCAGGGCCGGGTTGTAGTACGGCGCATTGCCGCACGAAGAGAGCCACCCCTCGCCATCAATGAAGACGCTGTGCCATTTGCCTGCGGCCGCCCTCGCCGGCGGGTTGGACTTGCGCAGCAGCGCCGAATAGCACAGCCACCGCACGGCACAGCCCTCGCCCTCTGGCTGCGCTGGCAGCTCGAAGCCGCGCTCTTGCGCCCACAAGCGGATGGCCTCCGCCGCGAGCGAGGCGTGAAAGAGAAGCGAGACGGCCGCGACGCGAGCGATGTCGACGGGGTCGCAGCGAGAGCCGGCGCGCACGAGGAGCTCCGTGGGGAGGTCGAGGAGGCGGGCGGGCGGCGGCGCGTCTGGCGAGGGAGCGGCGGTGGCGGCGGAGGCGAGGCGGCGCGAGTGGCGCCGCGGCGGGGTGGACATCGCGAGAAAAAGAAAACAATTTGGGCATGAGTCTCCAGGACGCGAGAAAAATAATTGCGTTCCCCGTTTTTTGTTAATTGTCCTTTCCCTGTGTGGTGGCGGCGTGCCGTCCTCCCATCCCTCCCTTGGAATTGGATCGCAAGGGCGATCTGACTAGATTTCGGCAGATCGGGTCCCACGGAAATAGTTTCTTCGTCCTCCCGGCCGGAAATAATTTTTTCGTCGTCACCTGCTCACCTCCCGTGTTCCTCTGTGCTCTGACGGCGAATGTCGGTGTGAGGACGCAGCGCCAGGGATAGAGAGAGCGTGTGAGAGAGCAGCGAGACCCCCCCAGCCCCACGGAGATCGAGAGACCGGGAAGTCGTCGGAAGAGTCGAGAGACCAGAGAGGAGAGAGAGAGAGAGAAGGGGGAATATAGTAATTAGTATCCTCGTTTTCGCACAAATCGCTCTCGCACCACGCACGCACAGCACGTGTCAAGTCGGAAGAGTGGTGAGTGCACACACATCGAGGAATGTCCGAAACCGAATGAGGTACACGCAATGGGCACGCGGGCACGCGCCGCGCGCTGGCGCCGCGCACGAGCCACGACTTCTCGGACTTTCTCCTCTCCTAGCGTTCTGCGTTCTGGGGCGGCCGGGGTGCTGTACGCGCGGAATAGCGGGAAGACAAAGAGCGGAGCGTCACGTGTCGTCCCTGACCTTTCTCACCGCCTTTGACGCCTGCAGCGACAAGAAGATCGTCCACAGGAAGTTTGCGATGTTGTAGCCGAGCGGTATCCACCGGACGGGGACCGAGCTGTAGCATATCAGGTCGACAAAGGGCCAGTAGCACAGCTCCGAGGCCCACGTCACGACGAGGTCCTGCCTGATTTTGCGCGGCAGCCGCGAGAGCCCACCCGCCAGCCCGTGGTCTTTTACCAGGAAGGCGCCGAAAAACACGCACGTCACGGCGGGCCCAAACCCGAGCTGCCCGCAAAATGTCTTGAGCAACGTCGACTGCAGGCCCGTGCCGGGGATGAGCCATGTGATGAACCGAAGATAGTGGTAGAGCGCGGGGCCAAAGTAGCAGAGGCCGATGAGAGCGGTCACGGCGGTACGCGTGCGGTCGGAACCCGCGCCGTCCGGAGCGAGGCGCTGCGCCGTCACATCGGAGAGCGCAAAGGTTGCCGCAGCGGTGAGCGACTGCGTCAGCAGCGGGCGGGCGCTGAGCTGCGCCTCGTAGGCGGCCCCGAGTGCGCCCGCGAGTCCCATCGCCGTCTGCCCTCCACGCAGCACGGAGACGCGCGATCGCAGCACGGGGAGCGCCGGCCGCGGCGCTGGGAGTGCCAGCGAGAGGAGAGCGGCGGAGAGGAGAGGCATTGGTCGAGACGGTTATCAGAGTGAGTTAGCACGAGGTTCCAGGCTTGAAGACCCGGCCCAGCTAGGCGCGAGAAAGCCGGAAGACTGTCATATCGCGCTGCCGACACCCCACAATGCACAAAACAAACGGGCGTGGGACTCTCTTTTGCTTTAACTTACACGATACCTGACAGGCCTGCAGTCAGCTCGTCGCCCTGGCCGCGGAGCCGGGCGGTGCGTGCGCCGCGCCAGCGCCACCGAAGTGGAAGGTCTCGATCATACCCCCGTCCACGATGAGCGTCGCGCCGTTGACGTACGACGCCGCCGGAGAGGCGAGGAAGGCGACGGGCCCCGCGATTTCGTGCGGCTGCCCCCACCGGCCAACCGGCGTGCGGCTGTTGACCTCGTCGGAGAAGCCGCGGTTGCCCTTGAGCGAGGCCGTCAGGTCCGTCTCGATGTAGCCGGGCCCCACCATGTTGACCGTGATGCCCTCGCCGCCGAGCTCGGACGCGAGGCTGCGCGTCAGGCCCTCGATCCCGGCCTTGGACGCGTTGTACCCGGGCAGGCCCATCCGGCCGACGTGCGACATGATCGAGCCCACGTTGACGATGCGGCCCCAGCCCCGCTGCCGCATGCTCCTGGCGCACTCGCGAGAGAGCACAAACGGGCCGACCAGATTCGCGCGCAGCACGTGCTCAAACTCGGCCGTCGCAAACTCGTCGAGCGTGTGGCGACGGTTGAGCCCGGCGTTGTTGACGAGAATGTCGATTCTGCCGTGCTCCGCCACGAGTGCGGCCACCGCGGCGACGCACTGCACCTCGTCGCCGACGTCGAACGCGACTGCAGAACAAGAGGCAGCCGGGTTCCTCTCGAGCAGGCGCCGGCGTGCATCCTCCACGGTGGCCGGGTTGGTGCCGGTGAGGACCGTGTGCGCTCCCTGCGCCGCCAGCGCCTCGGCGATGGCGAAGCCGATGCCTCGTGAGGCCCCGGTGACCAGCGCGACTTTGCCATCGAGCGGCTCAGACGGCGAGGCGTGGGCGAACGTCGCAGCGGCGCAAGCGGCGGCGGCGCTGGCGGCGGCGAGGACGCGCGGACGGAGCGCCAGACGGCGGAGCATAGCTAACAGCGAGCCGTCTTCTTACCAGGTTGCAACCCTACCTGGGTAGTCTCGCACTGTGCTGTGAACAGAGCACCAACCAACAGCTCTCAGGACCCCCCGGTGCTGGGGTGCTGCCAGCAACCAACCAACTCGCCGGCGAGCGGAGCGAGCCGAAGAGCTGGGGCCAAATTGGCGCTGTGAACGTCGTTTGAACCGCGTGCAGGAAGCTGCATGCATCGCCAGCGCCGTCGCAGCATCGAGCGGCGCGTCCTCCCCAACCAGCGGCGTGTATAGCACCATAGGTCGTCGGCTTTGCCGACGGGCGACGTGGACGGACACAGGCAGGGACGGGCGAAACACGTACCCGAACAAGCATGACCAGCGAACGGGGCATTGCACTACATAGTGCGGGACCTGGGGCAGCAACCAACAACCTGGATGGGGACGGGGTGCTGCGCAACCGACGCCAACCAGCAGCGTTCACAGCACAGTGCGAGACTAGGGTTGCAACCTGGTAAGAAGACGGCTCGCAGGTCGCCCCACCCCCAAAGAAAACGCCGGCCAAGAATTCGGCACTTCAGCTTGGTATTTTAGTATCATTGCATCCCAGATCATACCCCAGGGCTATACCCTGATACCCTCTTGAGAGGACCCGCATTGGGCCCCTAGAGGATAGGCTGATACCCTGGTGGGTTACCCTTCACACCGGACACGACCCCCCTCTTCACACCTCTTCGCGCGCTGCGCGCGCGCCAAGACAGACAACGCGCTCGAGTGAGCGTCGCGCAGGAGGGAGGCGAGCGCACCACTAAGCAATGCGAAACGAGGAGGCGTGCATTGCGCGCGCAACAGCTGGTGGGCGTGGCGCGCGGGTACGGCGGAAGCGCAAAGAGTTTGAATGATACCGGGGCGGACCATGCGGGAGGGCTCGGTCCTCGGTGCGAGGTGTGAATTGTCGCTTCGCTGCGCGGCCGCCGATGATACCTTGATACCCAGCCGAGATAAGTCCCCACAGAGGCCTAGAGCATACCTTGATACCCCCTCTCGAGAGAAGGATACAATGATACTATACCAAGCTGAAGTGCGACCGGTGAATTCACACAAAAACACCCCGGACCCAAGACGCACAAGCAAGCACAGACAGTCGAGAAGGGAGAGACAGCAACGACAGTCAGAAGCCAGCGCTGGGTACCAGGAAGGCGAATGCGATGACGGCCTCTAGTGTGAGCTCTACCTAGTGAGCTCATACGCACGCCGGCAAATCGCGACTATATACAGCTAGTTAGTTAGGAGCCGACCGACCCTCGCGTCCGGTGCTCATCGGCCGGGCGGGCCACCCGCCCACGCGCCGCCTACGCGCAGCGCGTGCGCCGCAAACTCGCCCGCCCGCCGAGAGCGCCGGCCAGTCGCCATCGGCCGTCGCGAGAGGCCTGCCCGGCTGTCGCCGCGGGGCCCCCACGAACACCACGCGTCGGAGGCGGTGCCGCGCGAACTCGCGCGCAAAGTGCACGCCCCACGCCCGCCGCAGCGTCGTAGCGAAGTAGGACTGCGCCTCCCTCGCGCTACGCGCGCCGATCCGCCTCCAGTGCTGCTTGGATGCCGACTCCACCACACAATCGAGCAGCTGGTGCAGGTCGTTAATTCACTTTCTTTTTTTGACTCTGGAATGTGACACCAGAATGGCTGTGCTGGCTCCTTCACAGCCATCTTACCTAAGGATGGCTGAGCTAGCTGCAGTGCAGCCACATCCTCCAGCCCGATGGCTGCAACACACACACGGCAGCCATCCTTAGTAGACATGGCTGGAGACGCACTACCGCAGCCACACCGCCCGCCTCGAGGTGAGCCCTCTTGGCTGAGCTGGCTACATCGTAGCCATCTTGGGAAAGATGGCTGGGGGACAGCCATTTCAGCCATCTACTAAGTACTATGGCTGGGGCACAGTCAGTGCAGCCATCCTCCGGATCATGGCTGGTGATAATTCGATGGCAGCCGTCCGCCTCCCCCGCCACACGCACAAATGGCTGCGCGCTTGTCGCCCCCGGCCTCGCGGGATGGCTGCCATCGGCTGCCATCGAATTACCACCAGCCATGGCTGGCACTGGAAGATGGCTGCAATCTCTATGACGCAGCCATAGTAGATGGCTGAAATGGCTGAAACGGCTGTCCCCCAGCCATCTTTCGACTTTCCCAAGAGATGTAGCCAGCTCAGCCAAGAGGGCCCACCTCGAGGCGGGCGGTATGGCTGCGGTAGTGCGTCTCCAGCCATGTCTACTAAGGATGGCTGCCGTGTGTGTGTTGCAGCCATCGGGCTGAAGGATGTGGCTGCACTGTAGCTAGCTCAGCCATCCTTAGGCAAGAACACTAGGGACTCGGGCCGTATAAAGAATAAACCTACAATGGTCACACTCTACATACGGCTTTAACCGCTCTACAATCGGCTTTAAGTTGGGTTATGCACCTGAGTACGGCTTTACGATGCACCTGAGAGGTTTAGGGGTTAAGCGCGACCCGCGACCCCCATCCACACGGAGGTGAGACGTGAGTGCGCATGGGACAAACACTGGTCCATCGCACAGTTCGAGTTGCCTTCCGTTGTCTCGTTGTCGTTCACACCCCACACCCCACGGTACGGCTGCGTGGACAATCCCCACTCTCCCTCATCCCTGGCACGCCTCCCCTTCGCCCTCGCCATCGCCCCACGCCTCGCCGGGCATACGCACGTACTGCAGCGTGTCGCCGAATCGCCAGCAGTGTGCGTCGAAGAAGGCTCGCTGCTCGAGCGAGACGGCGGCCGCAACGGGCTCGTCCAGAATGTCGCGCAGCCCGTGGCTCGTCCAGAAGGCCTTTGGCGTCTTCTCGTGCCGTGCCACCTCCACATAGAGCACGGCGCCACCGCCGCGCGCCGCCGCCGCGTGCTTCAAGAGTTCGTGCACGAGCGCCCGGCCGCATTGGGCGTGGCGCGCACTCGGGTCGACGGCGAGAAAGAGCACCTCGAGCACGGACGGCAGCCGCGAGCCCACCGGCGGATCATGCATGCGCGCTGCGACGGCGCCGGCGATCCGGCACTCGCCGCCAGAGCGCGCGTCGTGGATCGGTCCGAAGAAGACGCCCGGCGCGGGCGGCGCGTGGATCGGCGGCTCAGGGGGCGACGCGTAGATGACCCAGGTGTGGGTGGTGGTGAAGTCGAGGCCGAGTGCGGACTGGCTTCGGACGACGAGCGGCATCACGTCGCCGAGCGCCTGCGCAAAGTAGCGCGAGAAGAGCTGGATCGCCGCCGTGACCTCGGTGTCGCCGAGCGCCTCGCGTATCGTGCCAGCGGTCGGCGCCGGCCGCGCAGCCGCCAGCGCCTCGCGCTCCTGCTGCACCTCGCGCGCAGCGGCAGCGCTCTGCTTCGCCGCTTCGCGCCACGCAGGGCCATCGATGCCTTGCGCGGCGAGGCTGCGCAGCTCCCTCCCGCGCTCCCTCCACTGCCGCCGCCGGTGCGGGCACGGCGGGAAGACGCGCACGAGCGGCTCGAACTTCCGCGGGAAGACGGCGTACCGCATGAACTCGCTCTTGTCGCATCGAGGTGCGGCGCGAGTCGCGGCGCTCGTGGACGTGCACGCGGCGAGTGCCAGAGCGAACTCGGAGCGCTCAAGGAGGGTGAGCCACTCGACGTACGTGCGCGCAGCGCGGGGCGCAGCTGCATCCACCTCGCCCACGGCGGCAGAGGCGGCTGGGGCGGCGGAGGCGGCGGAGGCAGCGGGGGCGGCGGGGGCGGAGACGGCGGAGGCGTCGTTGGCGGCGGCGGCGGCATCGTTGGCGGCGGCGGCGGCGCGGCCATCCGCAGCAACTGATGTGAGGGAGGCGCGCGGCAGTTGCAGCTCGCCGCTGTGGAGCTGGCGCAGGAGGGCGTGGCGGAGACACGCCCACAGCCACGCGCGCGAGGTGCGGGCGAGCGCAAGGAGGGCGGGCGGCTGCATTTGTGTCATCAAGCACTCGGCGCAGTCCTCGCCGAGACAGGCCGGCGAGAGGCCCACGGGCGAGGAGCCCGCTGGCATCGAGTCGGGCGTGGCGAGGGCGTCGGCGTGGGCGGCGAGGGCGTTGAGCGCGCGCAGGGCGTCGCACCGCTCGTCGAGGCGCTCCTCTAGATCGAAGACCTCGATGACCGAGCTGTTGGCCAGGGGCTCGTGCGCGTGCGACAGGCCGAGCGTGCTGATCTGCTCGGTGCCATCGAGGCGCTCGCCCGCCAGCCGAAAGTCGAGCCGACCGCGCCCAAACGGTCGACCCGACGCCGAGCTGCGCGCAAACGCGATGGCGGAGAAGGTGTCCAGTAGCTCGCCGATGGGCGAGCGGTGCGATGCGACGAAGTCCTCGTCGATTGTGTAGACGGTCACGCACTCCGCCTCGGTGAGCTCGCGGGCGAGCGAGGCGGAGCGCGCCTCGATTCGAACGCGCAGGTCATGCCGACGCCACGCAGTGAAGGCGCGCCCCTTCTGGGAGCTATCGCCGGTGTCAAGTGCCTCACTTGCGGCGGCGAGCACGTGCGCGGGCGTCTGCGCGACAAACTTGCGCCGCGGCTCGTGCGTGAGCAGATAGCGCTTGAGCTCGAAGCTGAGGCCGCTAGCGGCGACGGCCGCGGGCGTCTCGCCGCTCGCGTTCGCCGCGCTCGCGTTCGCGCCCGCCGCGAGCAGCAGGCCGCACACATGCTTTGCCTTGGCGGTAGCGCACCGCGAGTCGGGCCCGCACCTCGAGGCAACGGCATGCAGCACACTGCCACCGTTGGTCTGGCACGACTCGACTTTGGCCGCGGCGGCGAGATCTTCGGCGGACAAGCCACTGCCGCAGAGCGACTCCAGACGCTCCAGCAGCACGGCCTGCTCAGCCTCGTCCGCCTTTTTTGCGGCACGTGCCGCATCACAAAGGTGCATCTTAGGTGCTCGGCCGTACGTGAGCTTGCTCAGGCAGACGGCAAGACTGAGCGCACGCTCGGCCACTTGCGGCGCGCCGTCGAGAGCATCTATTAAGCTCGCTAAGTCGACCGCACTTGCTTCTTGGAACCATGCCCTGCCGTCACTCATTCGCGCGACGCCAACGGCAAGGCAGCTTGGCGGCACTCGATGAGGCAGCGGCTTGGCGGCACCAGACGCGTCCCGGACAAACCGAGAAATGTGACGTGGACGTAGGAGAGGAAAGAAAGCGGCGCGCAGGCGCCGGACGGCGTTATTGCTTGAAACATGATGATCGCATGTACTGCGATGCTCACAAAAGCGCGCACACGCCGCAAACGACAGAGAGCGATACTCCCTGTGCGCGGAACGGACACCGCGGAGCGGGGAAGAAGCCGCGCGGCGGCGCGCGAGGCGGTGTGTGTGCAGCACGCATGCCGCTCCCTCTCTGCGCTCTCATCGCCACAGCTCTCGCGTCGGCGGCTCATGCGGCGATGGCCTCCTTGTCCGCGGGCGGGCCGATCGAGTCCTTGATCTTGTCTGGGATGTATGTATGTGGCTCGGGTCCCAGATGTTGTTTGAGATGTCCTCCTCGATGGCAGCCTTCCACTCGGGGTTCTTCTCGAGGATGGAGGCGATGGTGAGCGAACCGCAGGCAAGGTCGAGAGAGAGAGGGAGGGAGAGGGAGGCTCTACCCGCCTCTCTACTCTACACTCTAGTACTCATCAGACAACTCCACTTCTTTGCACTCGTAATTGCGCGCCGTGCGGGGGAGGAGCTTTCCACCAGCACAAGAGAGTCGGCTCTAGGGGGCCGCTTTTCGTGGCGTGGATGTTAAGTTGCCCGGCTTACATGGAATTCGCTTTGTCTCAAAATTCTCTGAAAGAAAAGTCGGTGTAAACGTTTACACACGCACGGACCGTGTTCATGTTCCTCCATTGCGCTCGCGCGCGTCCCCTGATTCGCGAGCTTCCCTTGGCACGAGGTTTCGAGCTTTCCTTGGCACGAGGCTTCCGCTGCACCAGTCGGAGGCTCTGCGAGAACGCGGCGGCATCCGCGGCGTCGCAGAAGCCGCCTGCAGACCACAAAGCAGCCGACGAAAAGGCGCTCAACTTCCTGGCAGAGCGCGGTAGCAGCCTCGGCATTCGGCTGTCGCTCAGGGAACGGCAGCTAATAATCGAGGCGGCGGACACCGACGGTGACGGTAAGATGTCCAACGAGGAGTGGGACCGACTCGTCAGCCGGCACGCGATGGCCTCAAACGAGCGTCTAACTCTTGCGCAGTTCATTCTGAGGTCGATTGATCAGCAGCACGGCCAGCAGTTGCTGCGCGTTACGGCAAGAGTCGGCGCCACCTTCTTCGCCGTGACTGGCGCCAACGTGGCGGGCGAGTGCGGCATGCACGTCTTCGGCGCCACACTCGTCGGCTGCATCACTGGCCTCGCGGGCGGCACCATCAACTCGCTGCTAATCGGCAGCACCGTCGGCTGGACGCGCGATCCTGCCCTCCTGGCCTACTGCATGGCCGCGTGTGTCGCTGGCTTCTACCTCTGGCCGCTCGCTGACCGGCTGATGCAACCGGAGGGCGGGAGCGGCGCTCCACCCGGCAGCGACTCCGTCGTACGCTACAGCATCGAGTCGGTCGCGCTCGGGGCGGCAGCGGTCGTCGCGGCGCAGCAAGGCATCGTGCAAGGGCTGCACCCTCTCATCAGCTTGTGCCTCGGAGTGACCATCGCCTTCGGCGGGGCGGGGCGCGATCTGCTGTGTGGCCGCGAGGTGCGGCTCAACCACATGTCGGGCAGCCAGTCTTACGCCGTCGCCGCCTTCTCTGGCGCCGGCGTGTACGTCCTTCTGCGCGAGCTGCACGTCTGGAACTGCAGCGGGTCGAGCGTGAAGCTGGTCACCGGCGGGGTCCCGATCGGCCTGCGGATCGCAATGGGAGTGGGCACGAGCGTCGCTATCCGCGCGTATGCTTGGTGGCGGCGCCCCGACGACCTCTTCTGGTCGATGGACGCTGCCGCGACGGCGAACGAAGAGTGGCTGTCGAGGCTGCTGCGGTCACAGTGACGAATGTGCTTCGGGAGGGCGCGGAGGCCGCTTTCGCTTGCCTGGACCGTTGCCGCTGCTGCCCCAACCCCTTAGCGAGGCCGAGCAGCAGCGCAAAGGTGCCGGCGATGAGCAGAAACATGAACCACGACGGCCACATCTCTGCCGCCGCGGCCAGGACCTCTGCGTCGCGGGAGAAGAGACGCCGCAGCGAGCCGCCGGCGAGAAAGGCGAAGAGCGAGTAGCCGCACACGGTGGCGATCCCGACGCCGACGCCAATCGCCGTGGTGCGCCGCGCCGCCGCGACACGGCCGGCGCCGAGGTGGCCGCCAACCCGCGTTGGTCAGCGCCGTCGAGAGGCCGATGGCGAGCATGAAGAGGCACGGCTCGAGGCTGTAGCCGACAGAATAGGCTGAGAGCGGGATCGTTCCCAGCGCGCCGACGCGAAAGCAGACAGCCTCCCAGAAGAGCCACTCGGTGAGCGAGAAGAGGGAGGCAACAGAGGTGGCCAGGAAGTACCTCCACGCTTTTCGGTCGAACAGGACCGCTCGCCCCTCCGCACGCGGCCAGGCGGCGGCGGCACGCGGCACCCGCCATCGGATGAGGGCAACGAGGACAGCAGCCATGACCGAGAATGTGATCTTGCGAAGATCCTAGTGGCACAGTCTCGGCAAGAGGAAGGCAGGCGCGGTGACAAGAACTGCTCGCAAGGCAGTGAGTCCGACCCCCACAGCGTTGCCGGCTCCGAAGTTCTGCGGCGCGATGGTGTCCATGGCAGAGAGCGGTGCTGTGAGGATCATGTAGCCAGCCACGTTGAACGTGAGCACGCCGAGGCGCGAGGGTCGCAGCGGCGAGAGGCGTTGCGGATGAAGCTGCGTGCCCGATGCCGATCTGCATCACCGTCAGCGCCGTCACAGTGAGCTTAGCGCCGTCGACTAGGGCGATAGGGAGTGCATCACTTGTACTTGTGTATGTAGCTCTTACGTACATTCACTGCTGACGGGGTTTGCGATGAGGAGCGATCCTCCTGCGCCTCAGATAGCCGCTGGACCGGCAACAGCAACACTGGTGGCACGCCAGCACACCCACCACCCGCCACTCTCACGCCACCAGCACCACTCTCACCTCTCGCCCTCCTCCGATGCGCCTCCCTCGGCAGCTCCGACGCCCGCGCCCGCAGCCGCCTGCGCCCCCTCCCCCCACGGGTCCTCCTCGAGAAACCGCTTAGTCCGCCGCCAGCGCCTCCACCTCCGCCTCGGTCAAGTCGCCCTCCGAGGCGTTGAGCAGCGCCTCGCCGCCGCCTGCGCCGCCGCCGGCACGCTCCCGGGTAAGCTCGGGTAAGCTCGGGGAAGCTCGGGGAAGCTCGGGGAACCTCGGGGAACCTCGGGTACCTCGGGGACTCTCGGGGACTCTCGGGTAATCTCGGGGACTCACGGGCCTTCACCAGCACGCTCCCGCAGCGCCCGCGTGCGCGCCAGCCGGCCGTAGTGGGCGACGAGCGCCTGCGGGAAAGCTCCGAAAAGGCTCCGAGAAGGCTCCGAGAAGGTTCCGAGAAGGTTCCGTAGTGGGCGACGAGCGCCTGCAGGAAGGTTCCGAGAAGGCTCCGAGAAGGCTCCGAGAGGGCGGCTGCCGGCCGAATTGCGAGCGGCGGCGCCGCGGCGACAGAGGACAGACACGTTGAGCGACTCGGCTATATCTCGGTTATATCTCGGGTGATCTCGGCTATATCTCGCCGCGGCGACAGACACGTTGAGCGACTCGGCTATATCTCGGCTATATCTCGGGTGATCTCGGCTATATCTCGCCGCGGCGACAGACACGTTGAGCGACTCGGCTATATCTCGGCTATATCTCGGGTGATCTCGGCTATATCTCGCCGCGGCGACAGACACGGCGACGTGTTTGGGGGGGTGCTAAGCCCGTGCATGCACATGTACATGCGCATGTCCGCTGGGGAGACTTTCGGGAGACACGTTTCGGGGTATTCGTTGCGTGTGCGTGTGTAGCCCTGCGTGTGTGTAGGTAGGTAGAAAGGTGAAGAACAGCCAGGCTCGGACTGGACACCAACGCGGTATGGGTGGACGCCGGACAGATGATGACGACACGCACGAGCGACACACAGACACAAACAAGCTCACATGTGTGTGCGGCCCCCCATTCGCAGTAGCCACCTGGCTGTGAAGGAGCCAGCGCAGCCACATTCCGAGGTTAGCCGCTAGTGTGAGATGCCGCCCGCTGCGAGGCCGCCGCTGCTGCAGGAGGCGCGGCTCCTCCCCGGCCACAAGGGCTCCGTCAACGTTGCGCTCTTCAACTCAGACGGCAACTACTGCCTCTCGGGCGGCGACGACCGCCGCATCTTGCTGTGGAACCCGCGGCGCGAAGAGGCGGCAGAGCCGATCAAGACGTACACGGGGCATAACGAGCGCGTGCTGGGGCTGGCGGTGGCGCACGACAACGGCAGCTTCGCCTCGTGCGGGGGCGACCGCTCCGTCTTTGTGTGGGACGTCCCTTCCGGCCGCGTGCTGCGGCGCCTGTCGGGCCATTCTCAGCGGGTCAACGCGGTCGCCTATGCCGGCGAGGGCTCGTCGCTGCTCGTCTCGGCGTCGTACGACACGACGGCGCGCTGCTGGGACATGCGCTCGCGCAACGCGGCCCCGGTGCAGATTCTCGAGGGGGCCGCCGATTCGCTCAGCGCGGTGGCCGTCTGCGGCGCCGAGATCCTGACTGCGTCTGTGGACGGCGTGCTGCGGACGTACGACGCTCGTGCGGGCTCGCGCACGGCCGACACGCTCGGCGCAGCGCTGACGCACGTGGCCCTGTCCGGAGACGGCCACTGCGCCTTGGCCGGCAGCCTCGACGGCTCGCTGCGGCTGCTCGACCGCTCCAACGGGACGCTGCTCAACCGGTACAGCGGCCACACGAACCGTCAGTTCAAGCTGGGGGCGTGCCTGTCGCACGACGACGCGCTGGTCCTCTCGGGCTCCGAGGACGGCTCTCTCTACGCGAGCGGCTGCCGACGAGGAGGCAGCCGCTGCTCGCGCGACCAGGCCGCGGTGAGTTGTGAGGATCTGCCGCCCGTAGGTCTGGGACCTGGTGGAGGCGCGGCTGCAGGCACGCATCCCGGCCGCGCGCGGCGCCGTCACGTCGGTGGCGTGCGACCCGCGCCGGCTCGAGGTGCTGACCGGCTCCCACGATGGGGCTGTCAAGCTCTTCACGCCGGGCTGATCTGTAAGACATTTTCGAAGATCTGCTCTACCTCTAGTGATTTTTACATTTCCACTCGGCCGGCCCCGGCCCCCGCGGACACCGACACAGCCAACACAGCGCCACTTTTTTTGCCCCCGGCCCCGCAAACCACACAGCAGCGTCGTTTTAGATGATGCCCCCGAGCGCAGAGCCACGGGCGTGTCGGCGGCGGGTGCGCTCGGGTCGCGCACGCCACACGTGCACGTTGCGCGTGCGCGACCCGTGTACTGACTTGTGGGGGTTGTGTCGTTAAAGCGTGCCTCTTAGTAAAAACACGAGAGACCGAGTCCGACCGCTACGCGCTAGCCAGGGTACCGCAGGTCTGAGAGCTCTCACCTTGCTCCAAGCGGAAGCGCCTCCCCCAGCGGCAACACCGCCTGCATTTTCTGCAGGTGGCTTCAGGGAAACACGGGTCACCTCCCGCCCCTCCCGCCCCTCCCGCCCCTCCCGCCCCTCCCGCCCCTCCCCGCACGAGCGCCCCTCCCCCCTGCCGCCTCGCCAGCCTCCGCCGCCGCCGCCACCGCCGAGACTGCAGCCGGGGCCGCTGCGGGCGGCGAGGCTGTGGCTGGCGCCGCCGAGGGCGCTGCCGAGCCCGAGGCTGCCGCTGCCTGCTGGAAGGCGCGGATCATGCTGCGCAGGCCATGGTTGGGGATGAGCGCCTGTTCATGGTCGAGGGCGTGATGAGACGCTGCCCGTCTCTGAGATCAAATTATATTATAGGACGCTGCCCGATCCAGTGGGGAGGGCGGGGCCTCGGCACTACAGCCTCGGCACTACTTGCGGGGCGGAGGGGGAAAGGGCGGCGGCGCCGGCAGCGAGCGACGGGAGGGGGGGGAGGCGAGGGCGGGAGGGCGGCCGGCGGCGCGGAGGCGGGGAGGCGGGAGGCGGAGGGGGGCGAGGCTCCGAGCAGCGCGGCGGCAGCGAGCGGAGCGTGCCTTCCTCTCGAGGGCGGCGCCGGTCTTTTGCGGGGCGACATCTCGCGACATCTCGGCGACATCTCGGCGACATCTCGCGACATCTCGGCGACCTCTCGGCGACATCTCGGCGACCTCTCGGCGACATCTCGGCGACATCTCGGCGACCTCTCGGCGACATCTCGGCGATATCTCGGCGTGCCTTGCTCTCGAGTGTGGCGCCCGTCTTTGGGGACGTGTCGTGCATCGCGAGCCAGCGCTCGATGGCACACCGCTCGTACGTGTGCCCGTCCACCTGCGGGCAATCTCGGGTCAATCTCGGTCAATCTCGGTCAATCTCGGTCAATCTCGGTCAATCTCGGTCAATCTCGGTCAATCTCGGTCAATCTCGTGTAATCTCGCACGTGTGCGCGGCAGGTGGGCAGAGGTGGGTGGGTGGGGGAGGGGGGGGGAGGGGAGGCAGACGTCTCCACCAGAGTCATCTCGGGTCATCTCGGGCCATCTCGGGTCATCTTGGGTGATCTCGGGTGATCTCGGGCGATCTCGGGGCGGCGCAAGACCAGAACGGACCTCGGGCGATCTCGAGTCATCTCGGGCGATCTCGAGTGCTCTAGCGGGTTGGCGGCGCGCCGTCAGGACGGGGTCTTGCATCAGCTCGCACGAGATCGGGCAGGTGTACTCGTCGGGCACCTGATGTCGGCTCATCTCGGCTCATCTCGGCTGATCTCGGCTCATCTCGGCTCATCTCGGCTCATCTCGGGTGGTAGTTTCGGGTGGTGGTCTCGGGTAGTCTCGAGTACTCTCGGGTGCACTCGGGTCATCTCCCCATTGACCTCCCTCGATCTCCCTCGATCTCGGGGGCAGGGCACCGGCTCTTGCTCCTCGTGCGGCGGCGCCTCGTCCGCCCCGGCTCCAAAGCCTGCCACTCCCGCCCTCGCCGCGTCGAGACGCGCCTAGTACCACACCTCCAGAGTACCGAACCCAGTGTGGGTTCAGTCCCGTGGGTGGTGCGGTAGTGCTCTCGCCGCGTCGAGCCGAGCACTCGCCGCAGCCGCCCTCGCCGCCTCCGCCGCCGCATCCTCCTCCGCCTCCGCCGCCGCCTCGCTCGCCCTCGCCGCCGCCGCCCTCGCCGCCTCCGCCCTCCTTGCCGAAGTGCAGGCCGCCTCCGCCGCCGCCGCCGCCGCCTCTTCTGCGGCCCTCAACTCCTCCCTCGCGGCCGCCGCCGCGGCCGCCGCGGCCGCCCTCGCCGCCTCCGCCTTCGCCGCCGCCTCCCTCTCCGCCGCCTCCCTCTCCGCCCTCGCCGCCTCCCTCGCAGCCTCCCTCTCCGCCTCTGCCGCCACCCTCGCCGCCTCCCTCTCCGCCGCCGCCCTCTCCGCCGCCTCCGCCGCCTCCGCCCTCTCCGCCGCCTCCCTCTCCGCCTCCCTCTCTGCCTCTGCCTCCGCCCTCGCCGCCTCCCTCTCCGCCGCCGCCCGCTCTGCCGCCGCCGCCGCCTCCGCCGCCGCCCTCCCCTCCGCCGCCGCCGCTTTGGCGGCGTGACGCTTCGCCGCCCGCCGCAGCCTCTCCCTCGTGTCGCGCGCGAGCCGCAGCACGTCCGCGCTCGCGGCTTCTTGGTGCGTCTCGAGCGCCGCCCTCAGCTCCTCCAATGCTCCGCCCTCGACCGCCGACCGCAGCACCGCGTCGGCGACTTCGCGCGCCGCGGTGGCGGCGGCCGCGGCCTTCTGCCGCTCCTGCGCTTGCGCCCTCCGCTGCTCCTCCTCCCGTCTCGCGTTGGCAGCGGCCGCTTTTGCGTTGGCCTCGGCCGTGGCTGCCGCCTCAGCCTGCGCCCGCGCGCGGGCCTCAGCGAGCCTCTTCTGCTTGGGGGCAGGCTGGAAAGGCGCCTGCGACGCTGCCTGCGCCATCCCGGCATCGTAGAGGTAGGTCACCGTGTCCATGTCGTTGATGTGTCCAGCGATCAAGTCCGAGGGCCCAAGCCGCAGGACCTTGGGCGGATACCCCGTCGAGAGACGGGTGCCCGCCGCGCAGCCGCCGACCTGCTCCGCCACCGCCTCGAGGAGCAGGTCGAACGTGGCGTGGCTGCTCGGAAGCTGGATCGTGCTGGTGCCGCGCGGGTGACGCAGCCGGACCGTGAGAAACTGCGCCATTTGTCGAGGCTATCACCACCAGACGGCGTTGGCTTCTTTCTTTTTTTGAGAGCGCCTTCGTTGTAAATAATAGAAACCCAATGAGCGGCGTACCTGGTTGCAACCCTTGTTCCGCACAGTGCTGTGAACGAGCGGCAACCAACAGCTCTCAGGACCTTAGGCTGAACAAGCTTTTCCTCTCGCACCCCGTCTCTTTTCCTTTCCTTGATAAGTCTTTTCTCCCTTCTCTACAGCACCCTCTCTTTTCCTCTCTCTTTTCCCGGGGAAACCATCAAAATTTCCGGGCTCTGAGCCGAGTCCGAGGCTGGTTTGGGCCCAAAATCAGCCAAATCGGCAAAATTTTGCGGGTATACCTGGTCAGCAAAGCCTACGAGGGGTGGTGGAACCACATGTCACGGCTACTGCCGGCTCGACCCCACGATACCGGTAGCCTCCGAAGGCTGACTTTGCGGCACCATCATCGGACGATGTCGACGAGTTGGGTCGCTCTCGCGGTAGCCACAGATACTAGTATCATCGGCCATGCGCCAGCCATGGCCGCAGGAAGCGCGGGGGAGGGCGCTGGGAGCAACACACGGAGCTCCGTTGGAGAGACCGTTTTCAAGATTAGCGTGTCAGAGTGAAATGGCACACTAGCCATCACGAGCCGCCGCGGATACCGCGAAAATAAAGTCGGCCAGACCAGGCGGATGTGAGGGCAAATGTGTTGACACAACATGTGGAAAAAATAAATAAATAAAAACGGACACCTCTCTCTCACATGGGTAAACACACCATTGTAGGTGTCCAAATTTGGGGCGGTGAGGCCGCGTAGGAACCCCACCTGCAGGGACCCCATGCCCAACCCTGTACGCAAAAGACGAAGCACCTCCACCGCTCCCAGAGAGACCAAGAGAACCTCCACTGGTGTACCTCTTGTCTGTCACCCTGCTAACCTGTAACCACGCGCACGCCTACATCCCCTGCGCCTCGAGCATCTCGAGCACGGCCATCGCGTCCTGCCGCGCCATCAGCTCGTCGATGCCCGCCTGCTGCAGCTGCTTCGCCTGCCGCCAGAGGCGCTTGAACTTGCGGATGTTGTACTCGGCCTCGCGCACGGGGTCCTCGTTGCGCGGGAAGGTATCAAAGTAGACGTGCCCGCTGAAGTCGGTCTTCTGCAGCCAGCGCACGAACTCGAGCGCCATGTGCGGGTGGACCGAGCCCAGGATGAGGCCGTCCTCGGCGCCGAGCCGCGTGTAGCCGTCGTTCAGCTGGATGCCGAAGAGCTTGCCCCGCGAGCCGACCATCGCCGCGCTCTGCGCCGGGTTCTCGCCCGCCGCGAGGCAGTGGCCAAAGTCGATCGTGAGGCCCATGTTGGGCCGGTCGATCTCCTCGACGAGCAGCAGCGCGGCGCCGGTCGACGGCACGGCGAAGAAGCGCGTGTTCTCGTCTGTGGGTTTGAATTCGAGCGAGACCTTGATGTGCGGGTAGGCGTCGCACACCTCGCGGAACGCGTCGACCACCCGTTGCCACATCACGACGTGGTCTGCCTGGTGCGCGTAGTCGTAGCCGTCGTACGCCGACCACACAACGAGCTCCGTGGCGCCGAGCGCGTCCGCCCACGCGCAGCCCTCCTTGGTCAGCTCGATCGCCTGCCGCCGCATGCCCTCGTCGGCGTTCGTGAAGCCGCCCGCCTGCATGCTCTTCGGGTAGCGCATGCAGACGGCGCCCGCCTTGAGGCCGGCCGCCTTGAGCGCGCCGCGCACCTCGTCGTGCGTCAGCTCGCTCAGGTGCTGCGGGTAGTTGAAGTCGAGAAGCCCCAGCCCGCGCACCGTGCCCTGCCGCGCCACCCAGCCGAGCACGCCCTTGGCCGAGTCGCCCTCCCAGCGCCACGCGCCGTCCTTCATCGAGTTGAGCCGCGACGCAAACTCAAGCGGGAACGGCTCGTCGTCCTCGGCCGCCGCCGCGCCGCCGCGCAACCCCATGGCGCCGCCGCCGTGCTGCGCCCCGCCCAGCACCTCCTCGCACTGCGCGCGCGTGGGAAGGCTGGGCAGCGCGCCGCGCTGCGCGACGGCGACGGCGCCCGCGGCGGCGGCGAAGCGCATGCACTGCTCGTGCGGCTGGCCCTCGGTCAGCGCGAGCGCGAACGCCGCGCGGAACGAGTCGCCGGCGCCGGTGGCGTCGACGACGCGCCCTCCCGGGATCGGCAGCGCGCCCTGCCGCACGACGCGGCCGCCCTCCTCCAGCAGCAGCGAGCCGTCGCCGCCGAGCGTCACGAGGATGTTGCGCGCGCCGCGCGACTGCAGGCTCCTGCCGGCCGCAAGGATCTCCGCCTCGCTGCCGATGGCCATGCCGGTGAGCCGCTCTAGCTCCGTCTCGTTCGGGCACACATATGCGACCTCCCGCAGCAGCTCGTCGTCGATCGGCCGGTCCTCACCGCCCACGTCCTGCAGCACCGGCACGCCCGCGGCGCACGCGGCGCGCGCGACCGCCAGGTTGACCTCCTCCGGGATCTCGCGCTGCAGCAGCACCGCGCTCGCGCCGCACACCAGCTCCTCCAGGGCGGCCGCGCGCTCGGCTGTCCAGCCCGCGTTGGCGCCGGGCACGACGATGCTCGATGCGGCGCCGTCGGGAGTGAGCATCACGATGCCCTGGCCCGTCGGCAGCTCCGCGGAGTGCGCGCAGCGCGAGACGTCGACGCCGGCTTCTTGCAGCGCCGTCCGCATCGTCTCGGCGTAGCCATCGTTGCCAAACTCACAGACCAGCACCGCCGGCCGGCCGGTGCCAGTGGCCAGGCGCGCGGCGGCCGCGGCCTGGTTCGCGCCCTTGCCACCGACCGCGACCGATGTGCACGGACTGCTCGCCATGACGGTCTCCTCCTTCTTCGGCAACCTCTCGACCTCGATGGTGATGTCCACGTTCAGCGAGCCGACGACGACGAGCGGCTTCGTAACGCCGTCGCCACCGCCACCACGGAGACCCAGAAGAGCGCCAGGCTTTGACGCGATCGCACTCGGCCTGTGATCGGCTGCCGCGAGCGCGGAGAGCACGACGAGGGCCGCGACGACGCCGATGGTCATGGTGATATGAGTGGTGACAAAAAGGCCGGGAGCCGCGAGCGCCGGGCTGCGAGCTCGCACGGGAAACTCTTTTCTTTTTTGCGAGTTTGGTTTGAGTGAGAAATGCGGGGGCAACGTGTCGACCTCTCTCTCTGGTGCACCACGGGCCGCGACGGCTGCTGGCAGCAGGCGCGAGGAGGCAGTGTGCCGGCACAGTCGAGCCGGAGCATCGGGTTCTTGATGCTTGTGGGGTCGAGTTTGACCTTATGTGGCATAATATGCAACAATAGTGCTATGCTATCTCCCGGCTTTTTGAGATATGAGCCCTCAAAGTCCAATTATGGTTTACTGGTGACCATAGTACCGTCTGTCCGGTTTGCGTTTCTTCAAACGAAACACTTTAAGGTCTCGACAATCACTAAGCTGCTTATGTGGCACCGCAGAGGCTCCCTTGGGGATGCTTGAGGCCACCCCAACCACTCACGAAGCCTTACGTGGGCGTATTCAAATCTACTTTTATGGTTTACCTACATTATGCGAGTAGGGAAACTGGCTATAGTGTTCCACCCGAACGCAAACAGCTCCAAGCAACGGGTAGAGGGAATGGCTGAGCGGCGCGCGCTGCCACGTGCAGCCGCCCTCCCTCGCCGACGAGCGCGCCGAGTGGGCAGCGGCCCTTGACGGGGTGCGATACCAGTGGCCCACGGGAGTCGGCAAGCTCCCAGGGTAGACCCCCGATACAGGGTAGACCCAGGGCAGCCCGATCGGCATCATGCCCGTGTGGACGCGCGAGGCGGCATCGCTGTGGGTGGAGCAGTGGCAGACGTCCTTTGTTGGCGAGGAGGCGTTCGTGTCGCACCGTGCGGCGCGGATCTCGCTGGTTGACATATGGCCGCGATGTACCGATCTGGCAGGAGGTCGCACACCTGCCGCAAAGCCAGAGGAGACCGAACACAGCTGAACAGCTCTCTCTCCGCGGGTCGGCTCGAGGCGGCGGGCGTGCAGGAGCTAGTGCATCGCGTCGCTCGAGCTCCTCGACGCCATGGAGCGCCCCCTCCGCTCGCGGCCGAGGCGCCGAGCTCGAGGACTAAAAGAGATGGCCACGCGCCACGGCGCACGGGAATTGTGCGGTGCGGTAAGGTAAATTTCTCCACACACACAAAGTGATGGGGCAAGGGGGGGGCAACCCTCGCAACTCCACACCCGGAGGGCCCGCTGCCGCACAGGGTTGCCGGAACCAATGCGAGGAGCTCCCCACACGGCATTCTAATATTCTAAGAGTGCAAGGCCCCCGGCGGAGGGTGCGGTGCCTATGTCTGACGGCTCCTGGGAACACTGCCGAGTGCGGTGCGGAGCGGACCCCGTCTGAGGTAAGGTAAGGTAAGGTAAGGTAAACTTCTCCACACACACGAGGTGGTGGGGCAAGTCTGAGCACTGAGGTCCTGAGCGAGCTCGCGTGTTTTTCTTTCATTTATCTCGCGTTCATGTCGAACTCGTGGTCGCGCGCGTGTTTGCGCACGTTATCCCGTCGTATGCGGCACACCTTGACCCCTTCGGCGTCACCGGCCCTTTGAATCTAGTATCTACCAGTCGCCTCGGTCCTCGAGCTCAACCTCCACTGGCGACAGGAAATCGGCGGCCTGCGCGAACTCTGCAAAGCTGAACGTCGCTGCCTCCTCCTGCTTGCCGAGGTGTGCTAGAGCCCGCAGCACCTCCTCACCACTGGGCTTCATTGCAACCTCGGCAAAGGCGAGCGGCAGCTCCTCGAGCGAGATCTCTCCACGCCCCGAGGTGTCGACCCGCTCGAAGGCTACGCTGAGCGCATTCATCTCTTCGGGAGTGAACAGCGTCTCAAGCGCAGCAGGCTCAGCACGCACCCGAGCACGTGATTCCCGAATCTGCCCAATCCGCTCCGCCAGCGTTCGGTCGGCGTCAGCGAGCTCGCAGGGCGGCAGCCCTGGCTCTCCGACGCCCGACGGGGCGAGAGCGTCGGGTGGCATCTCACTATAGAAGCCGCAGCGAGGCGTGCCGCTCACCCACTCACCGTCGTAGCGACGGGTGTGCGCCTTCTTTTCCGCGTCGTAGTAAAAGTAGACGCCCTCGCCTTCCCTCTCGTCCTCCACCCACGTGCCCTCAAAGTGGTCACCGTTGGGCAGGTCGAGCACACCAAAGCCGTGCCTGCGGTTGTTGAACCACTCGCCCTCGTACACGCCTGCCTCCGACCGATGCGCCCCTTTGCCATGCCTGACCCCCTTTTGCCACGAGCCGGTGTACGTCGCCCCACCGTCTCGATAAACATAGGTGCCCTGCCCGTGAGGCAGGTCGCCCTGCCAGTCGCCCGTGTAGCGCTTGCGCATTTCGCCCCTCACCTATACAATACATGCAGTCGGTGGCACAGGACGCGGCACAGACGGGGCACAAACGCCAGGCTACAGACACGCCTTCACCCAAAGCGTGCCCTTGCCATCCCTCTTGCCTGCCACAAAGTCGCCTATGTAGCGGTCGCCGTTTGGCCGCTCGAGCGTTCCCCGGCCCTCCCACAGGCCTCCCTTCCAGTCGCCGCAGTAACTTCCCATTGGCGCATAGCTGGTCCCGCGCAGCTTCTTGGTGTAGAAGACGGCGCTGTGCGCACCGTTGCGCGTCGCGGTGTCGACAGGGGCGCAATCGGGCATCGGGCGGACCCCGTGAAACGACCGCGGGGGGCCGGGAACATTTTTTTCTTTTTTCGAGAGTGCTTTCAAAAAGAAACAGAGGGGTGCCTTGTCGCAGTCACACACACACCGCACCGCACCGCACCGCACCGCATTGCTTGCGCGCACGCCCACCGCCCCGCCTAGGTGGGAAAGAGCTGAGGGAGGGTGTAGAGGATGTAGAGTGTAGAGCGCTGTAGAGCTGTAGAGTGCTGGAGAGCGCTGTAGAGCTGTAGAGCTCTACATCCGCCGCGTCGTCACGCGGAATTCTTTTTGGAGTCTGCTCCGGGGTTCGGACTTTTTGCGGGGTATGGTATGGTAGGCTCACGCAACCCACCTCGAGACCATACCCCCCCGCCTGCTGACAGACCCACCCTCCCGGAGACCGGGGATGGGCGGTCAGGACCATACCCCCCCACCCTTTGGCGACCATACCATACCCCGCAAAAAGTTGGAACCCGGCTTGAGCGTGTCGACGAGCCAAGGCCACTTCAAGCTCGCTCGCAACCCTACTGGTCTGTCATGTCGATCGAAATCATCGACGACGCGGGGCTCTCGTCCTCGACACGGACCTGCCGGACGTGCGGGCAGCTCGGCCACTATGCGAGGAACTGCCCATCCAAGCCGCCTGAGAGTACGCAGAGCTGAAGCACACACGTCGCCGCCGAGTCGCTCGCGGCCCTCACGCGCAACGCCCTCCGCCCCCCACAGCGCGCGAATGCCGCATCTGCGGCGAGGTCGGCCACTTGCAGCGGTTCTGCCCCAATAACCCCAGCGGCGAGGTCAAACCTGGCAAGCCGGGCAGGCGCAACGGCGGCGCTACGGGGCGGCGCTGCTTCAACTGCGGTCTCTTGTCCTAGAGCTATCAGAGGACCTTTAGCGAGCCGCGCATCGCGTCACCGCCGGGACCCGGCGTCGCTCGCACGGGTGGTAGGGCCGGGGTTTGAGGTGCCACAGACCTCACTGGATAGTTTCACCTCTTCTTGGCGGTGCGTCCGGCGGTTCGCGAGAATGCGGTGGGAACGCGCCGCGTCTCACCGCTCCTCGGCCGTGGCCTAGGCAAGCCGGGCCACCTCTCGGCGGACTGCGAGTTGCCGCCTGGAAACACCGCGTGCTACAACTGCGGCAAGCCAGGTGCGGCGCACTCTCTGCGCCCGTATGCCCGTGGCCATCGGCACTCGGACACCGCGGCTTGACTGTAGGGCACAAGTCGGCCGACTGCCCGGCACGCTGAGGGTGGCACGCGGGGAAGAAAGAGCCTCGAGCATAGCATCCCCTTCCAAACACCAAAGGCAAAAGCGGCAATGGCGGCATCGCGCTCCGAACTGGCGTGTTGCTTGTGCGGGCTTACGTGGGGGCGCGGCGAGGGTGGGCGCGGGGGCGGGGCGCGCGCATGCCATGTTGGGGGCGCCCCGTCCCCGCGCGTGCGCCGTGAGGCGTGAGGTGTGCGAGAGATTCCTGTCATTTGAGGAGGGGTTTTTTTCGCACACAACACACAAGTAACACGTGAAAAATAAGAAACAAATGCGAAAGTTAACAATGTGGCTTAGGGGGACAGGAACGCGACTCACGCTTCACACTCACGACAACACGATCCACACGTCGACTCGCGGCTATAAATACCGGGAAGCATGACTCGCTCACAGGTACAGCAGCGAGACGTCCCTACCGGAGTCGTGCCACGCGTCGCGAAGCGCCTGCGCAGCGGCTGCGCTGATGGCGGGGCTCGTTAGCCAGAGCTCGTCGATGGGGGCGTCGGGGTGTCGGATCGCCTCTGCGAATGCCGCCGCGGTCGCGTCCCCCTGCTGGTTTCCGTTGAGGCGAAGCACGCGGACTGTGGGCGCCTGCGCCAGTGCCTGCGCGAGGGCGATCCCGCCGCGGTCGCCGATTTGGTTGTGGGCGAGGTCGAGGGTGTGCACGCGCGCAGCGGGCAGCGTGGCAGCCACGGCGACCGCCGCCGCATCACCGAGCCGGTTCTGGAAGAGCGAAAGGTTCTCGACGCCCGCCTTGATGAGGCGCGTGACCTGCGGCGCGTCCCCGTCGCCGAGCTCCTCCCAGCCCAGGTTCACTCGCTTGAGGCAGCCTGTTGTCGTCGCCACGCTGTCCTCCACAATGTGGTCGAGCCAGCTCAGGCCCACCGCCGGGTCGATATTCGGAAGCGGCCGCTTTTCTCCGTGACAGGGGGCGGGCGTGACCGCGCCCGCGGGCGGCGAGGGCCCCTGCAGAGTGACGTCGCCAAAGAGGGGGAAGGCCGCGGAGGGGGCGAACAAAGAGAGCACCACCATGTCGAAGGTGAAAAAGAATTTTTGTGCGCGCAAGATACGCCGCGAACGTACCAAGCGAAGAGCCGAGCGGAAGGAAGCCGGGGAAGACGACTCCGAGGAGGACGAACCAGTGGAACTCCAGTTGTCAGCCGTCACGATGCACCCGAAGGGGACCCCAGCGCCGGCATCATCCGTGGAGGCACAAGTGTTCGAAGAGAGAGAGAGAGAGAGATTTTTAGCAATACCAAACAACTCTAACACTCACACGTCATTTGGAGCCTGGAGCCCTGTGTAAGAGAGAGTGGACCTGAGCAACGATATGACTGGGCGGCAAATGATAGCAGTGGGCGTCAGAAGACTCGTCCTTGCTCGAGGAGAGCTCGATAGACTCGAGGGGCCAGGATATGCAGCAAGGAGGGCAGAGCTGCGCCGAGCAGCGAGAGCAAGGGAGCGGCAGGCGGCGGCGCCGTCGCAGGACGAGGCAGAGGAGAGCGACGCGACAGAGGAAGAAGCGACAAGGGAGACCACGGCGGGAAGGGGGCGACCGCGAGGTGGCACGAAGGTTGAAGCGAGAATCGGAGAAGGACTGCGAAGAGAGATAGGAAGAGGCGGACGCCCAAGGGTGGGCGACGGCTAGCGCACCACACCCCTCTCCTTAAAATCCCTGTGTGGTGGCGGCGTGCCGTCCTCCCATCCCTCCCTTGGGTTGTCCGTTTTCTTTCTTTTCTTTCTTACGCCGCGAGGAGGACGGCCGAAAGGCGAAAGAAGCCGCGAGAACAAGGGACCGGCAGGCGGCGGCGTCGCAGGACGAGGCAGAAGAGAACGACGCGACAGAGGAGGAAGTGACAAGGGAGAGAACGACGAGAGTGGGACGACCGCGAGGTGGCATGAAGGTTGCAGCGAGAAGCGGCGAGAGACTGCGAAGAGAGATAGGAAGAGGCAGACTCCCTAGGGTGGGCGACGGCTAGCGCATCACACACCTCTCCTTAAAATCCCTGTGTGGTGGCGGCGTGCCGTCCTCCCATCCCTCCCTTGGGTTGTCTGTTTTCTTTCTTTCTTTCTTTCTTTCGTGTGTGTGTGTGTGTGTGTGTGTGTGTGTGTGTGTGTGTGTGTGTGTGTGTGTGTGCTGTGTGCGTCTCATTCACTCATACATACTCGGGGGGCCGTTCTATCTTCACACGGCCATCGCAGAGCAGGTTGTGAATGAGCTTGCCTGTGCGGCGAGGGCGGTCGAGTGCACGGAGCTAAGTGCCTCGCCGTCCTCGCGGGAGTCGCTTCTCCCGTGGTGTACCTCTGTGTTAGTGCCAGTGCGCGCCAGTCCCGTGCCTAGTGTCGTGCGAGGGAGTTTTGTTGTAAAATTTGTAGTGCCAGTCCGAGCCAGTCTGCTGTGAGAGGGGCTTCTATAGTAAAATTCTATCTACCAGTGAAGACACGGTGCGCAACAAGCTCTCCAAGCGGCAGCACGACGAGGCGAGCCGTCATCATCTGTCCAGCGTCCACCCATACCGCGTTGGTGTCCAGTCCGAGCCTGGCTGTTCTTCACCTTTCTACCTACCTACTGGACAGTGCCGACGGGACGCGGCTCGGGAGGCGACTCCCGCGAAGGCACGGCTGGCATCCGTGGCGTGGGGCCCGCCTCCGAAAAGTCGGGAATGGCTCTCCCCGCAACTCTATCGCTAACACGCGCGCCCCACCGAGACTGTGGTGGGCGCGCTGCGGCCGCACGTCTACCTCCGTCATAGTGCCACGACGTGCGGCCTAGATTTAGCACACGCGCCTCAGCTCGCAAACACTCACCCTGTACTCCCAGCGCCAGTGTTCGTTTGTGCCCGAGGCGACTTTCTGAAAATCACGATATCCCCCCTATTTAAAAAAACAAAGACACAAGCCAAATTCCAATTGGCAAATTAAACAAAACACAAAATACCGTAGAAACCCCAAAAAACAGGCGGCGACGTGTGGCAGGAGGCGAGCACAACTTCCAAGGACGCACGAGCGAGAAGCAGCACCATTGGTTGGACGCGAACCCGGAAGCGAAGCTCCCGATCCCGCGCCGAACCCCCCGCCCCCCCTAACCAGACTCATTGGTTGGACGCGAACCCGGGAGCGAAGCTCCCGATCCCGCGCCGAACCCCCCATCCACGTCAATCGCCGAGCGCGCACATGCCATCCTGGTAATGAGCACAGGACCGTGGCGTTCCACGTCATGGATCTAGTAGCCTGGGCCGCGCACTCGTTTACCTGCGCTTGCGCCGGACTTTCACCGGTCTAGGGTTTGGCACCAGGATGAGGCGGAGGGTGTGGCCACTGAAGGCATTTTTCGGCACCCTCAGTCGGCGGTCGCCTATGGTGCAGGGTCAAAGTCACGGGCATTGAGTCTCGTGAGGGTGAAGCGGCTGGCTGCACACCTAGTTGTCGTCGTCGCCGTGGCAGGTACGGCCGTACTTCTCGAAATCGTAGAATTGCTGGAGCTCTTTGAAGGAAGGAGGCTGGTGATGGATGCAGCGCTTGGTGAGTTCGCCGGGCATGAACTCGTCGCGGAAGTGATACGCGGAAGTGTTAGTGATAGTCGCGAATTGGATCGTGGCAGTGTACTTCTTGTCGGGGCCTTCTTCCATGTTCGCGGGAAGGAATGTTGCGTCGGGCTGGACGTAAACGTCCTCGGTCTTCCACGTGAAAGCGTCGGGTTCGACGAGAGTGTAATATCCGAGCTGGTCGTAGAAGCTAAGAACGGCGGCCGCGGCGGGGAAGGGGGTTAATGGGACGGATAGGTGGGAGGTGTCACTTGCTAGGAGGCGTGGGCGCACCAGTATCCGCCGGTAAGAAAGCCACCCCAATTGTACTGTGTGGCGTCGTTCACCAAGTTATTCATCATGTCGAGCACGAGCTGGCTCTCTTTCGTCCCAACCTCTTTGTTCATCTGCATATTCATCTCTTCGAGGTAGTCTTTGTCGGGGCAGTTGCCAACCCAGTTTGTGGTTGACCACGGAGCGGTCTTGATGACAATGTCAGGGTGGCGCAGCGCGCCAAGCACATTCTTGGTTGCGCTGAAGTTTGTGAACGCGTGCGCGTTACCTTCGGGGGGCGTGTAATCGCAGATCGGCGGACCGTCGCAGTCAGCCATCCAACCTCCGGTTTCCCAATCGAAGGTGCAGCTGGCCTCGCAATCCTTGCTCGCCGCCTGATACACCTCCGGGTGTTGGATAGGAGAATAGATTTGCTTCCAGTAGTTTCCCATCATCATGGTCATATTCGTGATATTGTTCAAGTAGCTCTGTCCGTGGACCGTTGGTCCCTTGGTTAGGTTTATGATGTTGTTCGCATCGCTGTGCAGCACGTCGTTCAAGGCCGACAGGGTTCCAGTCACAAAGACAGTCGTCACGCCACGGTCGAGCGCCTCCTTGTAGTACTTTGTTGACGTTGGCCGCGTTATCCACGTTGCGTCGATTGGGCCTTTGCAAGTGGCCGGGGTGCACTCCGGGACTCGCTTGCTCAAGTCGTACGCGTCGACGCCGTAGTTTGCTGACCCGTTCAGTTCATTCACGTGCATCGGATAGTAAGGCAGGTCCTCAATCACTCCTGCCAGCATGTCTGCGGCGCGGCTCAAGGGAGTGTACTCCTTGGTTGGTTCGGGTTTCGAAAGGCCCACCTTGACGTCGTGCATTCCGAGCAGCGAGAGGAGGCGAAGGAAGTTGTTGCCGCCAATCAGACTGTTGGTGGCGTCCCCAGTCCCGCTGATGATCATCGTGTCGAGTTTGTACTTCTCGCTCTTTGCTAGCAGTATGGCCACCGTGACGTCTGGGCAACAACAAGGCATCTCTTAGTCAACTTATGCGCGGGATGCTGCATCGGGCGGCGGGGGCGGGGGAAAGTGGGAGCCGCACCGTCGACGTGCGCGTCGGTCTCCCAAATGACCGGGATCCTCGACGAGCTGCCGCATTCGTTAATCGTTGGCTTGAAGGCGTCGTGCTCGGGAAGGTCGAGCGAGGCAAACGTCGTTGCGCGCGCCGGCAGCGCATCCTTGGTCGGCATGGACATCCCGAGGGCGGCCGCGGTGTAGCCCAGCAGTAGGGCGAACTTCATGATCATTTCGTTTGTGGAGAGGTTCGCGTCCTGCAGAGCAGACAGAATGGGGGCCGCCCGTGAGAGGGGTGAGGCAAGGCGCCTGCATTGGTCGGAAGTGCGAACAGCTATGCGCGCATGTGTGGGGGTCTGAAATGAGAGGGGGAGTGACGGGGGGCACAAAGCTCCGACATTGAGCCTGCGGAGGGCGGCGCAATGAGGGAGCGGACTCAGGCCCATGTCGCGGGCGACAGGCGGGCGAGTGATGCAGGCGACGACGCCGGAGAATAAAGAGGGCGAGGGCGAGGGCGAGGGCGAGGGCGGGGGCGGCGGCGGCGGCGGCGGCGGCGGCGGCGGCGGCGGCGGCCAGTGGCGGAGTGTTGTGCTCTTGTGCCCCCTTTGAAAGCCGAGCACGTTTGCGATGGCACTTTGCGATGGCCATGTCGCCCTCGCCCTTGCGCGCGACGACGATGGAGGAGAGCGAGTCGGGGACGGAGGTGCCGGAGGAGAGCACGATGGTGCCCATCACGATGCCCGGGATGTTGAGGATGCAGCCGACGCGCGTGGACTGGTGAAGATGAGCACGCAGGCCAACTGGGGGGATGGATGAGGCTTGCGGTGGCGAGGCGGGTGGATGGAGGGAAGTGGAGAAGGGTGTGGCGAGGGGGTTGGCGGGGAGGGCGGTGCGGGAGGAGGTGGTGGTGGGGAGGGGGGAAGGGGTGCGAGGTGGTGTGTGTGGTGTGTGCAGAGTCGGCCGGCGGTGCGGCGGCAGCGCACGTGATGAGGATGCAGATCCAGGCGACCGACATGCCGAAGTTCCACGTGAACCAGTACTTGCACTTGTCGCGCATCGACTCCGGCATCGACAGCTTGAAGGCGGAGATGAGCGGCCACCAGAAGGCCTTTTGGAGCTTGCCGATGCACTTATACGACGAGGAGGAGGGACTTAGTCTGGAACAACACCGTACGATCTTCTGGTCGAGAGCGAAGAGGAGGAGGAAGAAGAGGAAGATGACGGAGAGGATGCAGAAGGAGAAGTCGCACAGCACCGGGAACTTGGTGATGGCGAGGGTCTGGGCGGGGGGGGGGGGGGGGGAGGGGCCTTGTGTGTTGTGCTCTTGGGCCCCAGGCAGGGGGGGTTCCCCACGTTGGACGCCGAGCACGTTTGCGATGGCGATGGCCATGTCGCCCTCGCCCTTGCGCGCGACGACCATGGAGGAAAGCGAGTCGGGGACGGAGGTGCCGGAGGAAAACACGATGGTGCCCATCACGATGCCCGGGATGTTGAGGATGCAGCCGACGCGCGTGGACTGGACGCGGCAACCTGGAACTCGTGCCGGACGATCTTCTGGTCGAGAGCGAAGAGGAGGAGGAAGAAGAGGAGGATGACGGAGAGGATGCAGAAGGAGAAGTCGCACAGCACCGGGAACTTGGTGATGGCGAGGGTCTGGGGGGAGGGGGGGGGGGCGTTGTGTGTTGTGCTCTTGTGCCCCAGGCAGGGGGGGTCCGCACGTTGGACGCCGAGCACGTTTGCGATGGCGATGGCCATGTCGCCCTCGCCCTTGCGCGCGACGACGATGGAGGAGAGAGCGAGTCGGGGACGGAGGTGCCGGAGGAGAGCACGATGGTGCACATCACGATGCCCGGGATGTTGAGGATGCAGCCGACGCGCGTGGACTGGACGCGGCAACCTGGAACTCGTGCCGGACGATCTTCTGGTCGAGAGCGAAGAGGAGGAGGAAGAAGAGGAAGATGACGGAGAGGATGCAGAAGGAGAAGTCGCACAGCACCGGGAACTTGGTGATGGCGAGGGTCTGGGGGGAGGTGGGGGGGGAAGGGGCGTTGTGTGTTGTGCTCTTGTGCCCCAGGCAGGGCGGGTCCGCACGTTGTGGACGCCGAGCACGTTTGCGATGGCGATGGCCATGTCGCCCTCGCCCTTGCGCGCGACGACGATGGAGGAGGGCGAGTCGGGGACGGAGGTGCCGGAGGAGAGCACGATGGTGCCCATCACGATGCCCGGGATGTTGAGGATGCAGCCGACGCGCGTGGACTGGGCACGGGCCACCTGGAACTCGCGCGGGATTTTTTTTTGTTCGAGAACGAAGAGGAGGAGGAAGAAGAGGAAGATGACGGAGAGGATGCAGAAGGAGAAGTCCCCCACCCCCGGGAACTTGGTGATGGCGATGTTCTGGGCGGGGGGGGGGGGGGGGGCGTTGTGTGTTGTGCTCTTGTGCCCCAGGCAGGGGGGGTTCCGCACGTTGGACGCCGAGCACGTTTGCGATGGCGATGGCCATGTCGCCCTCGCCCTTGCGCGCGACGACGATGGAGGAGAGCGAGTCGGGGACGGAGGTGCCGGAGGAGAGCACGATGGTGCACATCACGATGCCCGGGATGTTGAGGATGCAGCCGACGCGCGTGGACTGGACGCGGCAACCTGGAACTCGTGCCGGACGATCTTCTGGTCGAGAGCGACGAAGAAGAGGAAGAAGAGGAGGATGACGGAGAGGATGCAGAAGGAGAAGTCGCACAGCACCGGGTACTTGGTGATGGCGAGGGTCTGGGGGGAGGGGGGGGGGGAAGGGGCGTTGTGTGTTGTGCTCTTGTGCCCCAGGCAGGGGGGGTCCGCACGTTGGACGCCGAGCACGTTTGCGATGGCGATGGCCATGTCGCCCTCGCCCTTGCGCGCGACGACGATGGAGGAGAGCGAGTCGGGGACGGAGGTGCCGGAGGAGAGCACGATGGTGCACATCACGATGCCCGGGATGTTGAGGATGCAGCCGACGCGCGTGGACTGGACGCGGCAACCTGGAACTCGTGCCGGACGATCTTCTGGTCGAGAGCGACGAAGAAGAGGAAGAAGAGGAGGATGACGGAGAGGATGCAGAAGGAGAAGTCGCACAGCACCGGGTACTTGGTGATGGCGAGGGTCTGGGGGGAGGGGGGGGGGGAAGGGGCGTTGTGTGTTGTGCTCTTGTGCCCCAGGCAGGGCGGGTCCGCACGTTGGACGCCGAGCACGTTTGCGATGGCGATGGCCATGTCGCCCTCGCCCTTGCGCGCGACGACGATGGAGGAGAGCGAGTCGGGGACGGAGGTGCCGGAGGAGAGCACGATGGTGCACATCACGATGCCCGGGATGTTGAGGATGCAGCCGACGCGCGTGGACTGGACGCGGCAACCTGGAACTCGTGCCGGACGATCTTCTGGTCGAAGCGACGAAGAAGAGGAAGAAGAGGAGGATGACGGAGAGGATGCAGAAGGAGAAGTCGCACAGCACCGGGAACTTGGTGATGGCGAGGGTCTGGGCGGGGGCGTTGTGTGTTGTGCTCTTGTGCCCCAGGCACGGGGGGGGGGGGGGGCGCCCGGCACGTTGGACGCCGAGCACGTTAGCGATGGCACTTGCGACGGCCATGTCGCCCTCGCCCTTGCGCGCGACGACGATGGAGGAGAGCGAGTCGGGGACGGAGGTGCCGGAGGAGAGCACGATGGTGCCCATCACGATGCCCGGGATGTTGACCGCCATGAGGGTTGCGCCGGCGACGTCCCTCGGGCATCTCTTCAGACCTCCTCGATCGCCTCGGCGAAGAAGTCGTCGCAGACGATCGCCTCGGCGAAGAAGTCGACCGCCAGGAGGGAGGTGCGCGCCAACCGCCGCCGTTGTTCAGACCCCGGGGGGGGTGGGGAGTCGAGGGTCTCCTGTGTCTGTCGGTGTCATGCGCGCGCTGTGGGTGTCTGTCGGTCGGTGCGTTTCAGCATCTATGCGCGTGCTTGCGCCGGCAAACCTACACAAGCAGAATGGGCGGGGCGTCAGAGCCGGCCGGGCGGAGCGGGCGGAGCGGCGTACTTGCGTGAGCATGCGAGGCCGGAGGGGGGGCAGCCCTCGCGCCGCGAGCGAGAGCGCGCATCGCGTGGCGGGGTGAGGTGAGGGGGCGGCGGGTTCCGTGAGCAATAGGCGTCGCGGGGGTCTAGGTGTGCAGCTTGCGGCGGCCAAGTTCGGGCGCAATGCGGCGCGGGAAACGCGAGCGGACGAGGAAAGTGGCGCTTGCCTTGACGATTTGAGGCGGATTCGGGGGGGACGAGAGATTACGCTGTGGGCAGTCGTTTTTTTTTGGTTTTATTTTCAATCAAAAAGAGCGCCTTCAGCACTACTCTATCGAGGTCTCGCCAGATTCAACGCAGCGGCCCACTTGTTTGGTACATCAGGAATCGCTCCGAATTCGCCGCTTTGGAATCTTCAAAGTTGTTTTTCACCGGCATGAACAAGTTGATTTCAATGATCCATAGCTTACCATCCCGGTCCAGGAGAAAGTCCGCGCCCATGAGCCCGAATTGGCCTTTTGCCGAAGAATTCTGCTGTCGGCGCAGCGCTTCGAGCAAACATGGCTCTGTCCACTGCGTGAGCTCTTGCTCATATGCCTCGCGGATCGCGGTGATTGTTTGCTCGTCAGTCGTCGCTTCTGCTGGAGAAATCAAGCCCCAGCGGCCCCACCCTATGGGAGACAGTGCTGATGGATGAGCAGCAATGTACGAGAAAATTTCCTGGTGGTAGCCTCCTCAGGCTCCTCACCTTCTTGGTAAGAAAGGTAGTCGTACTCTACAAGAAATAGGGTAAAGTGCAAGTCCCGCCGGACGGCAGCGAGCGGCGCTACCTCCAGATCTCGGAGGCGCGCGCGGGCAAGTCGCTTGGCCGCGAGACCTTCTTCGCAGTGTCGTGCACCGAGAGCCTCGAGGGGCTAATGACGCCGCGCATCGAGCTCAATCGAAAGCTCGAGCCGCTCTCGCTGGAACAGGCGCACGCGCTGCTCATGACGATCGAGCGCGCGCCGACGATCGGTGGGCTGGGAGACCGTGCGCTTTCGAGCCTCGCAGATGCCACCGCGCCCGAGCTGGGCGTCTCGTCCCTTGAGCTGCTGAGCGTCGCGAGAGGGGGGCAAGGCGGCTCCTCGAGCTTCGAGACGCCTCAGAAACCATCGCTGCGGCCACGGCCCGAGAAGAAGCCGAGCGCTTCCAATCCGTTCGAGATGATGGGGATGCAAAAACCGCCGCCGAACCCCTTTGGCGGCGGTTCGAGCGGCCCGCCCAATCTGCTGGACATGCTCTTTGGGGGCGGCCTCGGGATGCCCACGCGTGGCAAGCGCAGCCGCGGAGTCCCCGCAAGCTCAGACGGAGGCCCCTCGCGCCGCGCCAGGAAGGCTACGCCGCCGCCCCTCTGAGGGAACACACCCGTGAAGCCGCACCGGTCGAGAGACCGTCGAGTTGGGTCTGAAGGTTGGGCGAGGAGAGGCGATGGCGATGGTCGGAAAGGGGGGGGTGAACTGAGATGGTACCAAAGCCACAGCTGCAGTGCAAAAAGATGTGTGAAAAGAATTGACTTCTTGGCCGAATGCGGAATGGCCAAGGCGGCGAGGCTCACAAACACAATAGCACATCACGTACTTTGGGAGAGTCTCAGTCTCTCTTGAGCTCCCGGCCTGTCAGCTGTAGCAGCGTCTCGGGCGAGCGGTAGAGGACGAGGATCGTCTCGTAGAGCTGCGCCTCGCGCAGCAGCGAGCCCTCCCGCCTCGCGATGGCCACCGCCTCGCACAGGTCAAAGACGTCGCGCGTGTGCGGCATCTCGTCGTACACGAGCTGGTAGCGCGTGCCTGATCTCAGGCAATCCCGGGTCGCCTCGGGCCATCTCGGACAATCTCGCCTTCCACGAGCCGGTAGCGCGTGCCGCCGAGCACCGAGCGGAGGAGTCGCGCGATGCCAAAGACGACGACGGAGTAGAAGGCGACCACGCCGCCGGCGAAGAAGTGCGAGCCGGCCGTGCCGCCCGCGAGCCGGTCTGCGACGACGATGACCTGAAGAGATTCGTGAAGCGGAGACATCGCTGCCTCCGTCCACGCTGGGCTACTCACACCCCGCGCTTCTACGCTCTCCACTGACCTGCAGCCCGCGCCCCTTGCGCGCTCCGAAGGGCGACTCGTCGTCCTTGGCCTGCTGCAGCGCCCACCACTGCTGCGAGTCCCTGTACTCGCTGCTGTTGGTCGAGTGGAGGACGACGGACAGCTGCTGCATCGTGTGCCTAAACGAGGACGCTGTCGGTCGAGAGAGGAGACACGCGGACACCGCGACGCACAGCTGCATCGTGGCGTGCCACGCCATCTGCACCGAGTCGCCTACCAGAATCGAGAGGCGCGCTCACCAGAGAGCCGTCGGGCGCGAAGAGCCGCCTGCGCCGAGTTTGCCGATCGCGCGCGCTGGCTGTTCCGCCACCGCCGGCAGCCGCACGAACTTTGGGAAGAGGCCGCCAACTTGGATCTCGACGTCGACCTACAGGGGACAGGCGCCGCCTCAACGCAAGGCGGTGAGGCGGCCGCCCGCCTTGAGCCCTCGGGCGTCAACTGCGCGGCCGCGGGCGCCAGGCTCGGACGCGTTGAGGGCCACCGCCATTTCGCGGCGCTGCTTGCTGCTGAGCACCACGGAGCGCGAGAGAGAGACGCTGGTGGTGCCGCCGACGGGCAAGCGGCGCGTCCACTCGACGGCTGCCTCCAGGCTCACCTATTCACCCACAGTAAACAGCTCTCGTGGGGGGGTGAGGCCAACTCGGCGGCCGCCTCCAGGTCTAACCCCTGCGGAGCTCGACTCGACGGCGGCTTTGAGCTCGGCGAGCGCGGTGGGGTTGATGCCCCAGACAAGGTCGCTCGCCTTCGGCAAGGCCCGAGGTTAGCCGGAAACAGGCCGAGGCTGGCCGACATGCGCCGGATTGGCCGAGGTTCTCCAAGATTGGCCGGGATTGGTCGCTCGCCTCGGCGAACGAGACGCGCTGGTAGTCGACGTTGGCGTCGAGCGGCAGCAGGTACGCATACCCGCAGTCCTTCTCCGACTTCCTGTCCTGTAGAAGGACGACTCCCTCTCTGAGTACGACGGCTCGCACAGCCGCGTCCCCTGTCCGACGTCTCCTCCTGAAGCTTGTCGCCCGAGCAGTCGGCCGACAGGACCGGGCTCGTCAGCGGGAGCGGCAGCTCGATGTCGTTGTTGAAGCGAGTGGTCGCGCCGAGCGGGAAGAGGCCGGTCGGCGTGCGCAGCGTCAGGCGCACCTGAGGTCAGGTGTGGTGTGGCGAACTTCTCCACGCGCACAAGGGTGGTGGGGGCGACCCTCGGCGACTCCACGTGTCTGGTGACAGGAGCCCCGCCGCCTTCAGAGTGCTAGCTATGTCTATGTGGCGCGCCTGCGCCGATCGCACGAGGTTGGCCTCCGAGATCGGGTTGGCGGAGGAGAAGACAAACATCGGCCCGAGGATGAGGAGCAGCACGGCGGCGACGAAGAGCGCCCCGGTGCCGAGCTTGGTCTCGACGGTGCGCTGCGCGCCGCGCGGGCTCCGGAGCTTGAAGGCCATCGTCGCGCGCACCGAGACGAGCCCGGCGTAGATGTCCTCGAGCTTGAGCCACTCGAAGAGCGAGAGCGAGGTGCGGGCGACCGTCCAGTCCAGCGAGGTCCGCATCTCCCAGAGGAAGGGGAAGGACATGGCAGCGAGGTGGAGGTAGTACCGCGAGAGGCCGGCCGAGCCGGTCAGCGGGTGCTCGGTCGGGATGAGCGGCATGCCTGTTCACAGGCACAGGCGTGTGAAGAGACGCTGTTCACAGCAGCATCCTCCGCTCGGTCGGGGGGGGAGCGGCACGCCGTGCTTGAGCTGCAGCGCGGAGAGCAGCAGGTAGAGGCAGCAGAGCAGGTAGAAGCCGAGCCCCGCCCGACTCCGCGTGCAGATCGGCTGCCCCGCCGGCGCCTCGGTGCCGTCGCAGTAGTCCTTGTTGCACGCCCAGACGGGCAGCGCCGACGCGCCGCCTCTCGCGAGCCCTGTTCACAGCTGCAGCCGTGAAGAGGCGCCGCTCCCACCCTCACGGCGCCTCGAGAGCCCCTCGGGGCAGGACGCCGATGCAGAAGCTGGCGTGGAGGGCGATGACGAGCGAGATATGCAGCGCGAGCTTGAGGGCGGGGGCGAGCTGCGGCCGCCTAGGGCCAGGGTTCCGGCTAGGTCGGGGCAGGGTGGGGTTGCCGGTGGGGGGGAGAGCTTGAGGGCGGGGGCGAGCTGCGGCCGCCTCCCCGGCACCACCCGTGACCGCAGCTCGTCGAGCGGCGTGCCGAGCACCTGTTCACAGCAGGAGGTGTGAAGAGACGCTGCTCACGCCCACAGCTCGTCGAGCGGCGTGCCGAGCACCGGAGTCGCGAGGACCGTCCGCTCCGAGCCGAGATGCGCATCCGCGCGAAGGTAGAGCGGCCTCACACGCGCAGCCTCCGACGAGGCCCCGACAGCCAAACAGCCAGCGACGGCGGGCGAGGCCTCCGCACCGCCGTCCTGCGCCGCAGACGGCGCCGCAGAGCCGCCGCCCTGAGCGGCCGCGGTGCTGCCCGAGAGCTCGCGGACCTGTTCTCCAGCCCATCGGTCGGTGGTGTCGCCTCGCGAGTTTTTCTTTTGATGCCTCTTCCCGACAGCTCGCGCACCACGGCGCTCCGCGGCGTCTCGACGGTCGCGACGGAGGCGACGCCGCCGCCCGGCCGCTGCGGCGCGACGTCACTGGGCAGCGCGGCGACGGACGGCGGCACCCACAGCCCATAGATGACCTATTCGTGGCGGGCTGCTCGAGTGGATGACCCGGGGGCGAGAGTGGCGGCAGGTCGCAGCCCGGTGAGGCGGCCCTTTCGGCGACTGTGACCAGCATCGCCTGTGAATGGATCGGCTCACCATGAGTGACTGAGTCATCGATGGATTGATTGGCGGTGATGGCCGGCCTCGCCTAGGAGTGGCGAGTGAGGGAGGGGTGAGTGTGAGGGAGTGGCCAGCCCGCGACGCCGGCCAGCGTCGCCAGCAGCAGCACCAGCACCATGCCGAGGTCGAACTGCGAGGCCGCCAGCTGCGCGGTGATGTCCGAGGTGGGGCACGCGTTGGCGGCCAGGTCGGCGCGCAGCGAGGGGAAGCCGAAGACCACGTACAGCTGGAGGATCAGCAGCACCACCACCGAAGACATGTGGTAGTCGGCGCCGCCGGTGAGCGCGACGCCTACACTCGCAGCCGCAGCTGTGAAGGGAGCGCTGCTCTCGGGGGATAGTCGGCTGCCTCTTGAGCGAGACGGCGGGCGGGACTGCCCCTCGGCCACATCTCGGCTGGATCTCGGCCGTCTCTCGGCTATTCGACGCCGGGAGGGACGACACGAGACACAAAGGAGGAGCAGGCGCGCCAGCAGACCGCCACTCCCCGCGCCGCGGCGCCGCCCGCCCGCACGACGTCGCTGTGTGTCGGCAGCTGCAGCGAGGCGCGCGCGCCGCCGCCGATGAAGAAGTCGCCTCGGCCGAGGTAGACGTCGCGCTCCGACGCCTCTTCCGACTCCGACTCCTCGAGGTCGGAGCCCTCCCCGCCGCTTTGCTCACCCCCGCTCTGCTCATCCCCGCTCTGCTCACGCCCGCTCTGCTCCGTCCCGCTCGCCGAGCCGCCCGAGGCGCCCTCCGAGGGAGGGGGGCGGGCGGCGGGCGGCGGGTGCGGGAGGGCGGGGCGAGCCACCCCAGTGACAAGCAGCATCTCGCGGTGCACGAGCGTCAGCACGAGCGCCACTAGATCGGGCAGCAGCCCGCGCAGCAGGCCCTGGTGCTGCGGCAGCGACGCGCGGCCGCTGAACTTGTGGAGGCCGAGCGCCTATTGAGACTGAATTCCCCATGAGCCACTCCTCGATTCGTCACTTGGACTTGTCGAGGCCGAGCGCGTAGTCGACGCGGCGAGAGAGGGTCGGCATGAAGAGCGACTCGGGGACGGCGCTCGAGGTGGAGGAGCACCAGTACTCCGTGCCGTTGGCGGAGCCGTGCGCGGTGCGCAGCGAGAGCGGCGGCGTGCCGCAGACGAGCGGCAGCTGGTAGGCGAGCTTGATAGAGATGAGGGCGAGGAGGTAGGCGAGCAGCAGCGAGAAGAAGGCGCGGGGCGGGCACGGAGACTCGAGGCCGAGGTAGAGCAGCGTGGCGAGGGGCAGCGGCAGCGAGGTGAGGGAGGCGTTCACGGCGTGGTCCACGATGAGCGCCACGCAGAGCAGCTCGAGCCTGCTCAGACTTGGCATCGAGAGGTCAAGTCAGAGCCGCGCATGAGGAGGAGTCGCTGCGAAGCTCTTTCTGGTTGTCACGGTCTATCTTCCGCATCTGAGCAGCGCGGGCGTGTGCGAGAGCAGCGCCGCCCACGCAAGCCCAAAGAGCGAGGCGCCCTCGGCGACGTCGGGCGGCGGCGCAGAAGCCTCGCCTCCGTCTCCGGCGGCGCCGCCTCCTCCGTCGATGGCGGAGGGCGTGGCGGCGCCCGTGTCGCGAGCTTGGGCGGCGCGGCCGGCGGGCGCATCTTCGGCGGAGACGTCGTGAGGCGCGCAAGGCGGCTCGGCGCCGTCACACGAGATGCGGCGCAGCAGCAGCGGGTCCGAGGCGGCGACCAAGGAGCGACGGACCAGCGCGTGGGCGGAGCGCGCGGCGGCCAGCACGGCGCCTTGGTACTCAATTCGGAGGTGTTGCGCGTCAGTCACGGTAGGGGATCGGGCGGGGGCCAGCAACGCGCCGCCGCAGGAGGGCTGCGTGCGCCGCTCGCCCGCCGCCTCTGCCGCCCCCTCCTCCGCCTCCGCCGGCGCGGCGGGGGGCGGTGTGGCGGTGCGGTGCGACGCGTCGAGAAGTCGCGTGAGGGCAACCAGCATCTCGTTCTCCGAGACGCCCGCGTGCATCGAGGCGGCGCCGCCCCCGCACGCGGTGCGCAGCGCGGCGCGGCACGCCTCGCGCCCGAACCCCAGCGCGTGCAGCTCCTCCACCGCCGAGGCCAGGCCCGGCTCGGACCGCCTTGCAGCGTCGCCACCCGCGCCGCCCGCTGCAGCCTGCGCCGCCTGCGCCGCCTCCCCGTCCACCACGCCGCTCTCGACCTCCACCTCCGGGATGGGCGGGAAAGCGGCGCTGCCAACGGCGGAGGAGGCCCGCTCTCGCGCCGGCTGCAGCCTCTGGATCCGCCCGAAGATGCGCCGCAGCTTGGCGGCCTGCACCTGTCGCCACGAGTGCAGCAGCCGCACCGACAGCGCCTCGCGCCGCGCCTCCATTACTTGCCGCTCGGTGGCGCGCGAGGCGGCGAGGCGCGTGCGGTGCGCCTGCCAGCCGATGACGCGCGACGCGTACTCCCGGTGGCGGAAGACGCGCGCCTGCTCGTCAGCCACTGTGCGTCAATGAGCCACTTCTGAGTCCGGGCGCGGCGGAAGTCCGGACGCGCGCCTGCGAGTCGACGAGGGCCCAGACGAGGAGGTACTTGAAGGCGGCGCCCGACGAGAGCGCGCTGGCGGCTTGCAGCTTGACGAGGCCCAAGCTCGCCATCCAAAGCGCACAGAGAGGCGCCTCTTGACTCTCGTCGTCGGGGACGGCCGTCGCGCACGCGCGCGGCACGAGCGGTACCTACCGCACCACCCACGGGACTGAACCCAC